ATAAATAAGAGATGCGAAGGGCACAGCCGAGGGCCTGGTGGGCAACAGAAAGCCAACAGGTTTGCTTCTTCTGTCCTCCTATCTTTATGACCACTCTGGTTTACATGGACTCCTCTGCCCACTTTCTCCAGAACGCAAACATGGCACACGTCTCCCCCGGAAGAACTATCCCGTCATCCTCTGCTTGGATCTTAGCCATCTATCCGAGCTGCCATGTGAGTCCCAGCTCCTCCCGAAAGCCTTCCCTGATCGGACCTGGGCCCAGTTTAAAGCACGTATCCTAAAAGACTTCCAGGAGCCCGTGAGGTCTAACTCCTCACCCAGGCTGCAGCATCTGTGCTGGTGCTTCTGAGAGGCCCACATGGGAAGGCCTGGCACGCTTGGGGCAGCTCCCGCAGACGAGGGTGAGGGGGTCCCCAGGCTCTCCTTCTGACTGCGAACATGCTATACCCGAAGGATGGCTCAAAGCCCGGCCTGAGTGCCGCCTCCTCTCTGACCTCAGACTGCTGCAATTAAGTAGAGCATTCTCATTTGTACCGTCCCTCTGCAAAAAGAAAAGGCCATCTTTCTGGCACCTGGTCTGATAAAGGTTGTCAAGAGGCAACCTCTGACAACAAGAAAGAATTTCAAAGATGAACGCGATGCTTGACAGGTCCCTAGGGGAGGGAATGCACCACCAGAGGCCGAAAGTTATCGGTCATTCATTCAACAGTGGGCACCTCCTAATGGTGGGTGTTGTGGACATGCATTAAGTTCCCACTAAGTGCTGGCCAAGCCAGGTCTTTCCTCTGCTCTGTCTGAGGTCAAGTAGGGGCCTGAGGTGAAAGGCTGGAGGGAAATGAAAATCTTTTAACCAATCCAGTAATGCTGGCACCTTAGAGATATAGGGGATTGGTCCCAATCCTAAATCCCCTAAATCCCTTTTTTAAAAGATTGTATTTATTTATTTGAGAGAGAGAGAAAGCACAAGCAGAGGCAGAGACAGAGGGAGCCGACTCCCCACTGAGCAGGGAGCCTGATGCAGGACTTGATCCCAGGATCCTGGGCTCGTGATCTGAGCCGAAGGCAGACGCTTAACGACTGAGCAACCCAGGCACCCCCAAAACAATGAATGCCTTAATTAAAAAGTGCTTTACTGCTAACCATCATCTGAGCTTTCAGCAGCTGTAATCCTCTGGCTGGTGGAGGGCCTTACCTCGATATTGCCGGCCGCTGACTGATCACGTGGGGGTTGCTGAAGGTTGGGGTGTCTGTGGCAGTTTCTTAAAACAAGAGAATAAATTTGTTGCACTGATTGACTCTTCCTTTCCCAAATGATTTCTCTGTAGCATGTGCTGTTGTCTGACAGCATTTTACCCACAGTAGAACTTCTCTCAAAATTGGAGTCAGTCCTCTCAAACCCTGCCAACCTATCAACTAAGGTTATGCAATATTCTAAATCCTTCGTCATAGTTCAACAATCTTCAGGGCATCGTCACCGGGAGTAGACTCCATCTCAAGAAATCCCCTTCTTTGCTCCTCCACAGAAGCACCTGCTCAGCCATTCAAGTGTTATCCTGAGAGGGCAGCGGTTCGCTCACCTCTCCAGGCTCCACTTCTAGTTCTCTGTTTCCACCACATCTGCAGTGACTTCCTCCACTGAGTCTTGAACCCCTCAATGTCCTCCACGAGGGCTGGCACCCACTTCTTCCAAACTCCTGTTAGTATTGACATTGAACCATGGGAACATTTTCTTAATGGCGTCTGGAATGGTGAATCATTTCCAGAAGATTCTCAATTTACCCAGATCGAGCAGAGGAATCACTATCTATGGTGTGTCTCTTAAATAATACAGCCTTGCGAAGTGTGTCTCTTAAATAATAAGACTTCAAAGTCAAAATTACTCCTTGCTCCGTGGGCTGCAGAATGGACGTTGCATTAGCAGGCATGAAAACAACACTAATCTCGCCGGACATCATCAGAGCTCATGGGTGACCAGGTACGATGTCGACGAGCAGTAATATTTCAAAAGGAATCTTTCTTTCTGAGCAGTAGGTCTCCACAGTGGGCTTCAGATATCTGGTAAACCGTGTTGTAAACAGGTATGCTGTCGTCTAGGCCGCGCCGTTCTGTTTGTAGAGCACGGGCAGAGGAGAGGTAGCATAATTCTTAAGGGCCCTAAGAATTTTCCAGCTTCAGCTTCAAGTCACCAGCTGCATTAGTCCCTAACAGGGGAGTCAGCCTGTCGCTTGAACGTCTGAAGCCAGGCGCTGGCTTCTCCTCTCTAGCTAGGACAGTCCCAGACGACCTCTTCTCCCAGGTAAGGCTGCCGCGTCTCCACTGAGCATCTGTTTAGCAGCTGCCTTCCCGAGCGATCCTAGCTAGATCTTCTGCTGAACCTGCCGCAGCTTCTCCAACAGCACATGCTGCTTCACCTGGCACTTCTGTGTTTCCTTAAACCTCATGAACCCACCTCTGCTAGCTGCAGACTTTTCTTCTGCGGCTTCCTCACCTCCCTCAGCCTTCGTGGACTTGAAGAGAGTCAGGGCCTTGCTCTGGATGAGGCTTTGGCTTAAGGGAATACTGGGACTGCTTTGATCTCCTATCCAGGCCACCAAAATTTTCTCCCCATCATCAATGAGGCCGTTGCACATTCTTATCACTCATGTGTTCGCTGGAGTAGCGCTCTTAACTTCCTTCGAGAACCTTTCCTTGGCATTTGCGACGTGGCCTTTTGGCACAAGAGGCCTACCTTTCGGCCTATCTTGGCTTTTAGACATCCCTTCCTCACTAAGCTTAATCATTTCTAGCTTTTGACTTCAAGTGAGGTATGTGTGACTCTTCCTTTCACTTGAGCACTTAGAGGCCATTACAGGGTTATTAATTGGCCTAATTTCCGTATTATTGTGTCTCAGGGGACAGGGAGGCCCAAGGAGAAGGAGAGAGAGGGAAACAGCCGGTCGGTGGAGCAGTCAGAACACACAACGTGCATTGGTTAAGTTTGCCGTCTTATATAAGTGCAGTTTGTGGTGCCCCCAAACAAGTCTGATAGTAACATCAGAGATCACAGATCACTGTAACAAGTATAATAATGAAATGGTTTGAAACCCTGCAAGAATTATCGACATGTGACACAGACATTAAGTGAGCCTGTGCGGCTGGAAAAGTAGCACCAATAGGACTTGCTCAGTGCAGGGCTGTCACAAACCTTCCATTTGTAAAAAAGGCAGTATTCATGAAGCACAGTAACGGGAAGAGCACTGGAACGAGGTATGCCCTCACGTCTTCACACTGGAAGCAAGCAGAGGGGGCTTAACTGTCCTGAACTGTAATAAACTCTAAGGTCCTCCCAGAGTAGAGAGGACTCAGAGCTCCTACAGGCTTGCTCCTTGCTTCTGGGCCACCAGTCTCTCCCTGTGAGTGTGGTGACAAGGCACTCTCCACTCAGACCAGGGCCTGTGTCTGTAGGAATGGCTCCCAAGGCAGCAGTCCACCCCTTGCTCAACATCTCAGGGCGTGCTGCGCCAGCCCTGTGGCCAGGCCTGGTGTCTGGCCCTCAAGATATCATAATGTGGCTCTGGGAAATGTGAGACAAAGCCAAGAGTTCATCAGAGTAGAGATCCGAGAAAGGCCTTCTGAGAAGCTTGCAGCTGGTGTGACAGCACAGGTGCTCTGAGGATGCCCAAGGGGAGCACACCGCCCCCCCCCCATTATCAGGGGTGGGGAACTTAGGGATGAGCTGCGGTTTCTCAGAATGAAGGCAGAGGAGCTGCAGTGAAGAAAGGCCCCGGACAAGCACACCGCATGTGCAAAGTATGAAGACGTGAGGACGCTTGAGATGTTCACGTGCGCACCGCGAAGGCAGAGAGTCCCCACTCGGGGAACAGCAGGACGCCGGGCTGGAGAAGTCAGTGGGGAGTGGCATCCCTCAGGGTCAGGAGAGCCAGGCCCACAGGACTGCAAGCTAGCGACGCTGTGACAGGATCGAAGGCCTGTCGTTGGTCTCACAAAGCAGGAACCGGCCAAGACTGGCATCAGTGAGGCCATTCCAGTGTCTGCCTGCCAGGTAACCTAAGGAAGATAGGAACTAAGCCAGTGACCCTAAAGACTGACTAGGGAAACGTTCAGGGGTGATTTGGTGACCAACTGGATGGGGAAGATGAGGGCAGGGGTCTCCCTTGGAAATGTAGGGGAAAGGGCAAGGTGAGAAACGCCTGCAGGGAATGGTCCTCACGTGGAGGTGGATGTCCACACAGAGGTGAAGGGGCAGAGCTATACGGGGAATGGTCAAGAAGGGTGTCAGAGCCCAGGAGCTCCATACCCAAAGGGTGGCTGGAGGAACTGCTTTCCCTAAAACTAAATATTTGATCATACTAATTTAATTCGACCTATTAAATTAAATTTAATTTTCTTTACTCAATACTAAGATGCAAAATATTAAAATAAATATTAGAGACATTTAATTGTTACACTATTTTGTTGGAACAGAGTCCACAGTCCTAAATGAACATTTTGGAAATGGGCTCTTCTCGTACTTACATGAGTTACACTGCCTATATTTGATCAACTTAACAAATAAAACTGATCTACTAGAGGGGCGCCTGGGTGGCTCAGTCGTTAGGCGTCTGCCTTCAGCTCAGGTCATAATCCCAGGGTCCTGGGATCGAGCCCCACGTCGGGCTCCCTGCTCAGCCGGGGGCCTGCTTCTCCCTCTTCCTCTGCCTCTCCCCCTGCTTGTGAACTCTCTCTCTCTTTCTCTGTCAAATAAATAAATAAAATCTAAAAAATAAATAAATAAAACTGATCTACTAGAGATCAAAGAGAACTAAAAATAAAACCAAGGCCCACTGCTGATTGACCATATTCCCAACAGCGTGAGTGACCAGATCCTACGAATGACCACCAAGGGCTCCAGCACAGCCCTTCTGCCCAAGCTCCTGGTTGGCCAGAGGGAGCCCAGTGGGAGCCTGAGGCTCAGGATGAACAGGCTCCCAGGCCCCAGGAGTTCATGCTGTTCTTACCTGTACACAATTCTTTCCCTCTGTAAATCCTCCAAACCACAGCACAGCTCGGCAGCATAGAAAATAGCTCTCTGCTCATCAAAGCCAGGGTTGCCCAGGTTGTAGATGTGAAACTTCAAGTCCCCTCCATTCATAATGGTTAGCACCAAGCACAAGGAATCTTTGGTTTCATAAGTGTAGGACAAACTAACCTAAAGACAACAGCATCATAAAAAACAAAGCACAAACACCTGCTCATTCATTGGTGATTTACTCTATTTGCTAACATTATTCAAATACTCCATGTTAGATTTATCATTAGAACACCCAAATACTATATGCTTCAGGGAAATGCATACCATGCATCTGGTGCTTCTTGGACATTTACCTATCAAAGATCTTCCAGGAATTCTGCACTGAGGAGAGAATTTTCTATGGCTAAGTGGGTAGATGGCAAAACTTCACAAAGACACTTGGGATCATGATTCATCGAAGGTATGCTCTAATCGTGCTCAACGTTTCATACTTCTAGAACACCCATGTTCAGTATACAGGTTAAATTACAAGTTAATACACCCACCCACGGTGTAAGAGGGGTCTTGCCGCTGCACATCCTTTCAACATTTTATGTTGTCAGTCAATGCTGCTGAAGGTATAGTTGCCTCTCATTGCAGTTTTAATGTGCATTTCTCTGTATATACAAATACAGGACACATTTCTCATACTTTTTCATATACTTATCCATTTTGAACTACTCGTGTGAAGTACCTGTCCAAGTATTTTGCCCACTTTTCCGTTGGTTTGTAGGTCAATTTACACACACACACACACACACACACCGTGCTGGGATTTTGATTGGGACTGCACTTAATTCATTCAATCTATATATCAATTTGGGAAAACCAACATCTTCATACATTGAGTCTTCTAATCCATAAGCATGGTATCCTTCCCTTTATTTGGTCTTCTTTAATTTCTTGGAATAGCGTTTTAGATCTCAATGTAGAAGTCTTGCACATTTTCATTAAATTTTTGCCTAGATTATGATGTTTCTTGATGCTATTGTAAATGGTATCAATTAAAAGTTTTTATTTTCTAACTATTTGTGGCTGATATTGTTTCTAATAACTTGGCTAGAAACACAACAAATTATATAGAAAGTGTTGGACTGTCCACATGCATAATCATGTTGTGGGGCCAGCCAGGGTGGGCAGTGGGAAGGAGGAGGGGATGAGTGTGACACAGGGAGAGGTCAAGACCCACTGATAACTGTAAGCAGAGAGGAAAAAATATAATCAAGGATGAAGGAAAACTCACAGAGGAAATAAAAAACTACCTTCAGACAAATAAAATGGAAATCAACTTTCCAAAATCATTGGGACACAGCAAAAGCAGCTCTAAGACAGAAGGTCATAACAACACAGGCCTACCCCAAGAAACAAGAAAAATGCCAAATAAACAATCTCATTTTATATCTAAAGGAACTAAAAAAATAATAAAGTCCAAAGTTAGTAGTAGGAGGAAATAATAAAGATCAGAGTGGAAATAAATGAAATAGAGATGAAAAAACAATAGAAAAGATCAATTAAAACCTGGTTCTTTGAAAAAATAAAATCAATAAACTTCTAGTCAGACTCATCAATAATAAAAAAACAAATATATAAATTTTTTAAAAATCAGAAATGAAAGAGAAGTTGCAAGTGACACCACAGAAATACAAAGAATCATAAGAGATCAGTATGAACAATTACATACCAACATGTTGGACAACCTAGAAGAAATGGATAAGTTCCTAGAAACCCAACCTTCCAAGACCAAATCACACAAAAATAGAAAATATGAACAGACCAATTACAAGTAATGAAATTGAAGCAGTAATTTTAAAACTCCTAAGAAACAAAATCCCAGGACCACATGGCTTCACAGGTGAATTCTACCAAACTTTTAAAGGGTTAGTACCTATCCTTTCAAACTATTCCAAAAAAATTGAAAGAGGAAGGAAGGCTTCCAAATTCATTTTACAAGGCCAGAATCACCCTGATACTGAAACCAGATAAAGACATTATTAAAAAAGAAAATTACAGGCCAATATCCCTGATGAACATAGATGTAAAAATCCTCAACAAAATATTACTAAATCCAATTCAACAATATATAAAAAGGATCATACACCATGATCAAGTGGGATTTATTCCAGGGACGCAAGGATGGTTCAACACCCAAAAATACATCAAGGTGATACAACATATTAACAAAATGAAAGATAAAAATCATATGATCATCTCAAAAGATGCATAAAAAACATATGACAAAATTCAATATTTATTTATCATAAAAGTTCTCAATAAAGTGGGTATAGAAGGAACATACCTTGGGGCACCTGGATGGCTCAGTTGGTTAAGCAACTGCTTTCAGCTCAGGTCATGATCCTGGAGTGCCAGGATTGAGTCTCACATCGGGCTCCCTGCTCAGCGGGGAGTCTGCTTCTCCCTCTGACCCTCCTCCCTCTCATGCTCTCTCTCATTCTCTCTCAAATAAATAAATAAAATCTTTTAAAAAAGAAGGAACATACCTTAACATAATAAAGGTCATATATGATAAACCCACAGCTAACATTATCCTGAATGGTGAAAAGCTGAAAGCTTTTCCTCTAAGATTGGGAACAAGACAGAGATGCCCACTCTTGCCACTTTTATTCAACATAGTACTGAAAGTCCTAGCCATAGCAATTAGGCAAGTAAAAGAAATAAAAGGCATCTAAATTGGAATGGAAGAAGTAAAACTATTTGCAGATGACATGATGCTATATATAGAAAACCCTAAAAACTCCACCAAAGAGATTTGAGAACTAAGTAATGATTTCAGTAAAGCCACAGGGTACAAAATTAACATACAGAAACAGGTTGTGTTTCTATACACTAACAAAAAGCTATCAGAAATAGAAATTAAGAAAACAATCCCAGGGACACCAGGGTGGCTCAGTCAGTTAAGTATCAGACTCTTGATTTTGGCTCAAGTCATGATCTCATGGGTCATGGGATCGAGCCCCACATCAGGCTCTGCGCTCAGTGGGGAGTCTGCTTGAGATTCTCTCCCTGCCCCTCTCCCCACTCCCATGTGCACACACTCTCTCTCTCAAATAAATAAATATATCTTTCAAAAAAAGAAAACAAGGTGCCTGGGTGGCTCGGTCATTAAGCGTCTGCCTTTGGCTCAGGTCATGATCCCAGGGTCCTAGGATAGAGCCCCACATTGGGCTTCCTGTTCAGCAGGAAGCCTGCTTCTCCCTCTCCCACTCCCCCTGTTTGTGTTCCCTCTCTCCCTGTGTCTCTCTCTGTCAAATAAATAAAATCTTTTTAAAAAAAATAAAAATAAATAAAAAAAGAAAACAATCCAATTTACAATTGTATCAAAATAATAAAAAACCCAGGAATAAATTTAACCAAGGAGGTGAAAGACCTATACTCTGAAACTATAAGAGACTGATGAAAGAAATTGAAGACAACACAAACAAATGGAAAGATATACCATCTTCACAGCATGGAAGAATTAATATTGTTAAAATGTCCATATTACCCAAAGCAATCTACAGATTCAGTGCAATCCCTAAAAAATGCCAAAAGCTCTTTTCACAGAACTAGAACAAATAACCCTAAAACTGTATAGAATAACACAAGACTCTGAAGAGCCAAAGCAATCTTGAGAAAGAAGAACAAAACTGGAGGCATCATGCTCTCTGATTCCAATCTATATTACCAAGCTGTAGTAGTGAAAATGGTATGGTACTGGCATAAAAACAGCCACACAGATCAGTGGAATAGAATAGAAAGCCCAGAAATAAGTCTATGCGTATATGGTCAGTTAATTTATGACAAAGGAGGCAAGAACATTCAATGGGGAAAAGAGAGCCTGCTCAATAAATAATGTTGGAAAAACTGGACAGCCACACGCAGAAGAATGAAACTGGATCACTACATTTTACCATACACAAAAATTAACTCAAAATGGATTAAAGACTTGAACATAACAAGTAAAACCATAAAACTCCTAGAAGAAACCATAGGAAGTAAGCTCTTTGGCATCAGTCTTAGCAATACTTGGGGGTGGGGGGCACAGTCTACTGAGGCAAGAGCAACAAAAGCTAAAATAAACAAATGGGATTACAACAAACTAAAAAGCTTCTGCACAGTGAAGGAAACCATCAACAAAACACAAAAGGCAACCTACTGAATGGAAGATATTTGCAAATCATATATCAGATAAGGGGATAATATTAAAAATATATTAAAAGACTTACACAAATTAATATGTGAAAAAATAACTTGATTAAAAAATGGGCAGAGTATTTAAACAGATATTTTTCCAAAGAAGACATACAGATGGCCAACAGGCATGTGAAAAGATGCTCAACATCACTGACCATTAGGGAAAGGTAAATCAAAACCACCATGAGATATCACCTCACACCTGTCAGAATGGCTAGCATCAAAAAAAAAAAAAAAAAACCCAAGAAATAACAAGTGTTGGTAAGGATGTGCAGGAAAAGGAACCCAGGTGCACTGTTGATGGAAATGTAAGTTGGTGCAGCCACCATGGAAAACAGTATGGAGGTTCCTCAAAAAATAAAAAACTTGAAATACCATATGATCCAGCAAATATACCTCTAGGTGTTTATCCAAAGAAAATGGAAACACTAATCCAAAGAAATATCTGCACCCCTAGGTTCATTGCAGCCTTATTTACAACAGCCAAGATACAGAAGCAACCTAAGTGTCCATTCATAGATGAAAAGATATAGAAGATGTGGTCCATATATACAATGGAATATTACTCAGCCATAAAGAAGGCTGAAATCTTACCATTTGCAAAACATGGATAGACTTAGTGGGTATTATGCCAAATGAAATAAGTCCGAGAAAGACAAATGCCATATGGTTTCACTCATATATGGAATCTTAAAAACAAAACAAACTACCAAACAAAACAGAAATAGACTCAGACAAGGAAAACAAACTGTTGATTACAAGAGTAGGGAGGGGTGGTGGCGCGTGGGTGGCTCAGTCGTTAAGCGTCTGCCTTCGGCTCAGGGCTCGAGCCCTGCGTCAGGCTCCCTGTTCCACAGGAAGCCTGCTTCTCCCTCTCCCACTCCCCCTGCTTGTGTTCTCTCTCTCGCTGTGTCTCTGTCAAACAAGTAAACAAAATCTTTAAAAAAAAAAAAAAAAGAGAGAGAGAGAGTAGGGAAGGGTTGGGGGACAGAAAATAAGTGGAAGGGATTAAGAGCAAATGGCTCATTTGCAAGAGCATAGAACTTGATCTCAGGGTCGTGAGTTCAAGCCCCACATGGGGTATAGAGATTACTTAAATAAACAAACTTTAAAAAACAGAGGTACAAACTTCTAGTTATAAAACAGATAAGTCAAGGAGATGTAATGTATAGCATAGGGAACATAGTCGATAATATTGGAATAACAGTGTGGTGATAGATGGTAACTAGATTTATCACAGGGATCATTTCATAATGCATAAAAATATGGAATCACTATGATGTATACTTGAAACTAACAGGATATTGTCATATCAATTATACTTCAATTAGAAAAGAAAAGGATGAAGGAAAATATTTCTAGGTTCCTTGGGAGAGGCCAAGAATACAGAAACAAAAATATTTCATTTAAATAGAATAAACCATAGGTATTACTTATGTCCCTTTCATAAAGCTAGATTATGGATTTCTGTGTTTCAAGGTAGTTACATAAACATATTTAAAACAACTCCATGATGAGCCAGTTTCATTAAAGATTTTCGTGGAATGTACGAGGAGAGACCTGTCATACACAAAGGTAAATGTAGAGGATGGCTGTGCAGGCCACTATTTGCAAAGTTTGTCCCCTAGCACAAAACAGTGAACCTCAGTCCTGAGACAGAAGTGACTTGGAGGAAGTAAGCCTAACACCACAAATTCTTTCCTAAGTTGTCTTTCCCTCTCCCCCTTACATAGACCCTCCTGTTGCCACAGATGCTACAGGAGATATGAAGGGGGCGACAGAAGTTAGGTTTGGGGATGAACGCCACAGCACCTCATGCACAGCACAGGGCCTAGGAGGGTCCCGCGTTCACCTAAGCCCCATTCGCCCAACCCTTGCCTGACATAGTGAAGGTGGGATTTGAGGCTTCATGCAATTGGGGAATGCTAGCCGGAGGCCAGCAGTTACATTGGCCAGGTGTCAGACTGCAGGCTTGCAGAGAGGAGGACTTGGGCCAGTGCCTTCAAGCTCAGGAGGCAGTGGCCCCACGGCCCAGGATGAGCACTGGCGGCCCAGGAGAGGGCAGGGCCCTGACCGGTAACAGCCCGCTGCTGGGTGTGAGGCGGAGCCCACAGAGCAGGCCCGGGGGGGTGGGATCACCCCTGCTTGGTGTGTGTGTTCAGTAAGAAGCGGGTAGGGAAGCAGAGGCCACCAGCAGGACCAGGCTGTCCCTGGCCCCTGGCCCCGCCGCCAGCCGCGGCAGCACAGCCCGCACCCCCAGCCAAGACAGGTGGGCCCAGCAGCAGGTGTGCCCAGCAGAGGGGTCCTCACCGTGCCATCCACAGCGAGGACTAAACCCAGATACTCACTACAAATCTGCTATGCACTTTTTCTAGGATTCTCTTTTCGCTGAGAGCCATGGCTTCACCTTTCCTCCTCTTTATTCTGTTTTTCTCCAGCTTCTTACACGCATACATCTTTCCTGTAGCCCGCACTTGACACGCACAAACCTAGTTTAAAAAAGGGAAAGAAAGTGTTCTACACACCTGCCACCTCAGGCCGCCGCCGTCACCACCGGCAGCAGCAACCAAGACCCATTCCCTCCATGATCAGCCCCGCAGGGGAACGGCAGGGAGGGGCTGGTGGCCGCAGGGGTGGGGCGGGGGTCCCGGCTCTCCCACAGGGGACCACAGCACGCGGGGCCGCCAGGGTCTCCCTGCGTCTCTCAGCCCCTGCACAAGAGCCACAGTGTTAGAGAGTAAACTGACTCCTCTTTCTTTTAAAAGTTTAAGGATATAAGAAAAGATATTGCATAGAGTTCATAAACTCTCATGCATTTATTCTACTTAGTTGTTAAAATACTATTTATACATTACTTACCTTCTCACTAGGAAAAAATTTCCAAAACCACAGAAGTGGAGATGGGGCTATAATGAGCTCCCAAGTACCCATCCCACAGCTTCTGGGCTATCAGCACGGGGCTGCCTTGTTTCCTCTGACTCCCGTCCACTGCGCGCACACACACACACACACACACCCTTCATATCACAGACACACTGCCCACACACACCTACCGCACACCACAGGCATGTACGTGCCCCACACACGTAACACATGCATATACCACACATACACAGACACGGTTACTTTATAAGCAAACAGAAGACATGATATCATTTTAATCCATCAGTAACATGATTTTGATGATAAAATATAAAGTTCATTGTGCAAAATACTGAAAGTATTAGTAAGGACAATGATAAAACTCACTGAAATCCCAAGATAACTGTATAGGCTTCTGAGTCCTCCTGAATTTTGGGTGGGGAACCTGACCTTATATTATAGAAAATATTTTACAATCTCCTATTTTCATCTTCCAGTGTAACTGTTTCCTCATCATTCTATGTTCTCCCAATATCTGACTACTCCAAAATTTCTTTAGTCATTTTCCTACCATTAAGTCTCAGCACATAAATCTTGGCATATCTCTTTATCACTAACTTAAGACAAATTCTTTTAAGTGCAATTGCCAAGTCGAAGAAAGAGAAGGGAGAAGAGGTAAGGGAGCCAGACTCTGCACTCTCAGCTGGACACGAATATTCCTTTGCTGCTCGCAACCACCCTGGGAGGCAGGGATCTTCTCCCTGTCGTGATGAGGATGAGAGGAAGCCAAGGTCACACGGCGGAAGCAAGGCCAGCTGCGCCGACAAGCCCCCTCCACGGCACTGTGCTGCCTCTAGAGCCGTGCACACAGAGATGCCACCGGTTCTCTTTCCTCAGCGCCACCACAGGACCCCACAAACCTCTTCTGGAGGACTTGAAGCCTCAGTGAAAGCACTGCGGTCGACAAAATAAGACCAAAATGTTTGCCCTTGCAAAACCACCGGAAGAGGTGTTAGCATTTGGAAAAAGTAAAGCCACCACTGGAATCTGGATTTAAAAGGCACTGAGGCTGTCCGCATTAGGGTCACAGGGCTCCCTCTGACAGGGATGCACAGTGGAAATGGACTGTTCTGCTCCACACAGACGCGATGTAACAAATAGCACATCCAGAACAGGTCTGTGAAAAACCAGAACACTTTATCCATCTGTATAATCTTTTGTATGGAAACACAAGTAAATGTGTTAAAAAATAATCTATAAATATAAATATACCAAGTCTTTCACAACAGTTAAAATTTGCTAACACGTTACTACTGGGTCCATTTCTAGAACCTCCATGTGGCTATAACTAGAACTACATTCTTTTGTAAACACAAGAGCTTGAAACATCCTCTGTTCTTGGACAGAATCTGAGTTTTATACTTGGACATCATGAAAGGCAAAGTAGCACGAATTAAAGAGAGCGAATAACTTTCCTGCTTGAGGAGGTATTCAAACAGAGGGTGGATTTCTTACAGAAATCTCTATCCTGGAAGGGTTACAACAGCATTTGGTTGGATCACTGGAAATACTCTAACAGGTCTCCGGAACTGTGTTGGGCACAACACTGCTGGTTCTGAGGTACTGGCGACATGGGCCAATGTCTCCCTCACCCAAACACAGAGGTAGGAGAGGCCTCACTTGTGGGACAAGGCCTCTTAGGTCAGCTTCCTAATCCACATTAAGGGAACTCTGGTGGCTATGGTTTAGGCTTTCCATGGGAATTTGGGAGCATGGGTGATTTCGATCACATGCGGGCAATTTCACTTGCTTCTGACTACACATGCAGCTTTGGCTCTCTGTGGCTGTCCCGGCTCTGGCTCTGGGGAGTTATAAATGCTAAAACTGAACATGACCGCTCCAGATAATCAATGAGGCAACTAACACCTCTTTAAATGACCTAACCAGAACTACATGTGATTCTTGGTCCACCCCACACAATAGTCTCTATCTAGGAGAGCCATCATGTTCAAAGACCATCTCTCATGAATTTGTGGGTAGTGTCCTTAGGATTTTCCCAAATTTACACATTTTCTAGTATCTTTTGATATAGGTGTGGGAGCACATACATGTCCACACAGAGTTGAGATAAATAAGCACATTTAATAATATACTCTGTACTATATGAGCTTTTAAGCTAGTCTTAAATTAAGGAAATAGAGTAACAGATTAGACAATATGGAAACAATCATCTCTTCCATCAGGACAAACTGAGATTGAATGTTGAATAACGGAATGCCGGAAACAACTTCTGTACGAAACATAAAGTGAAAGAAAAAAAATCATGAAGACAGTGAATTTTTTCTTTCCAGATCTCCGAATCTTTTAAAAGCAGGTAGCAAAGTACCTTTTGTTTGTTCAATCTTAATTCTTGTGGTTGGCTAAATCATTCCCAAAATACACAGTAAGGAAATAAAGGTATTGGTAAAGTTGACACATCATGTCTCTCAAGTACCGCGCTATCTTACTTTTCTAGTCACGTATTACTTACCTCACCAAATCCGCCTTTTCCTAGAACTCTGTAATGCCTAAATGTGTTCTTTGTTACTGGTTGCCTAATTAATTAAAAAAAAAAAAAAAAAAATCCTAGAACTCTGTAATGCCTAAATGTGTTCTTTGTTACTGGTTGCCTAATTAATTAAAAAAAAAAAAAAAAAAGAAGCTTCAGATGTCACATCACATTGTTATTTTAAAGCAGAAAAGCCTACCTAGCTCCTATTCTGGCCTTATTTATGACACTGCACTGTTCAAAGGGAGTGCCCGAGGCAAGAGTGCCCATGCTCAGGGACCGTGGCTCCCTCTAGTGGGACGCCTTCCATTACGCTAAGAGACATAACCGCATGTTAACATGAAGAATTACTGAAAACAATGAAGCTAGATCTAGAACTGTCCAATTATCCTTACTAATTGAAGGAAGGTCAGCAACTAGTTCACATCACGACATATGTATGTACTGGGCCTATTGGAAAGCTGCAGAGGAAAATGACATATCTACAGTGCACCACCCTGTGGAAAAAGAACCTCAAAGAGGTGTTTATACTCAACATCTCAAAAGAAACGTGCATGAAGTAGAACTGGAAGTCCAATCAATCAATAACCATTGTAACAACCACATTTACTGATCACTTACTTTGTACAATTCTACACCAAGCTATACACAATCCTCAGGCAGCCCAGCAGCGCAGTACGGTGGATTCTAGAACTACATCTATTTTCAAAAACAGGGACCTGATGCTCATGAAGGCCAAGTCCCTTGACTGAGTCCACGTGGCTAGTACCACAAGACTGAACCAGTGCACATCGGATTATATTTCTGTGAATCTAGGATATGTTTTATCTTCTAACTACTGTGCTCACAGGGCTGAAGAAATTACATAACACATATTAATAATTTCTGTACAACAATACCATATCCAGCCCAAGATTTCCAATATTATTTTGACAGATGGAAAAGTATACATCAATCAGTACACATTCTGAGAAGTTACTACTTGTTTTTGAATTTTAAATTAGAACATACCTTTCCAGCCATTTCCACTGTAGAAATCGAGAAAAATATGGGCTTTCTTGGTATTCTCCAAATGGTTCTCCACTTAAATAGTTATGGATAATTCTAGAAAAAGATTTTACATAATTATATACGTTTGTTGCATTACAATATGAAAACAACTATGTTTCAGCACATTCATCAACACTGGGTATTGGGAAGTCAATCATTTTACACAATTAAATATATTAAATTTTGCAATTATAGAATTCCACACTTGTTTCTAATGTTATCAGTAAAAATATGAAGGCAAGAATTCAAAAGAAATGAAATTGTTTACCCTCCCAATGTATTCAAGGGGTGTATGTGTAGTGTGTGTGTGCATGCACCCAAGCACATGTGTTTCGGTAGGGATGGTAAACATTTGGTATGTAAGATTAGAATGAGTATCTAAATGATAATAGTCATATTGTACAAAATGTTAATATGTGACCAACCTTTTTTTAACATTGAAACTAAAACACTCCATGAACTATTTTATGCTATATATTTCCAGAAGAAATTTTATGCAATTAGCCATGCTTCTAAAGTTTTATTTAGAATTTTATAAAATATATACAGTTTTATTTTATTACAGAAGTAATAAAATTCTTATTCGTAGAGTAGATGAGGGACAGAATGTAGTCAATTTTTAAAACAGCTCATTAGTCAATAAGCATCTAAGAAGTAGATTGCAAGCACTGTGCTGGACGTTGGAGGGAAAATGTCCAATGAGGCCTACATCGAAGAACCTACCAGCTCGGCCAGGGAGATGGGTAAGTTAGTGCACCGTTAGAGAAGAGTGTGCCATGCCTGGCGTGCCCAGAACACCTCCCCTAGGAGAGGATATATTAGGAACACTTTGGTGAAGTTGGTGTCTGAGTTGAAGTAGAAGTCATCCAGATGAAGGAAGAAGGAAAGGGTCTCCCAAGCATGGACAAAAACCCAAATGGGAAAAGATCAAAGTTTCCATGGGGAATTGCTAGTAGACCAGTAACTCAAGAGGCTTTGGGAACAATTCCAGCATTTTCACTGATTGTAAGAATTCTGAGCAAGCCACTTGATTTCACTTTATTTTGTAAAAGGAGGTTATTCACAAGTTCTTGGACTAACTAATATTATAGCACAGCGATTCTCAAAATGTATTCTGAGGATCCCTATGGATTCTGACACCCTTTCCGGGGGGGTGTTTAACAATGAAACTATATTTGTAGTAACACTAAGACATCATGTGCCTTTTAAAAACTAAAAACCTCATTTTCACAGAGGGGTTTTCCAGAAGCACAAGACATGTGACATCATTGCTCTGATGGCAAGTGGAATGTTTATGTCTTCTTCTTTTTAAAAATGTAAGCCACATACACAAAAGCTCTTTGGGTCCTCAATCATTTTTAAGAGTGTAATAGACATTGGAAGATGTCCAGACATGAGAGGGTCTGACACGGCTGCTACATACAATCTGACACCTGAGCACTGTTCTGGAGGCTGGTTACCTGGACCACCTCCTCCTGTCCTAGTGGAGGGAGAGGGAGGGCCTGCTCCCTGCCTCTAGGAACACCCTTCCCTCCTAAGCACGTGGGCAGCCCAACTCCAAACCTTTGTGGACCAGGGCAAGGATTCTGATACTGTCGGCTTAGTTAAATCATCTTTGTAAAGGTGTTTGCATATTTCTATGAGAAGAACCACACACTATCAACTTATTCTAATATAATTGCATATTTCAGTCTGTATAAATTAATATGCTGATGACTAGAGTCAACTTACCAGTGCTTCTCAATTTCACTTCCTAATACTCCTTACCTCAAAAACAACAGACTCTGCCCCACTGCTCTAGTCTGGGAAATAAACCTACTGCACACACCTTTTTTTAAAGATTTTATTTATTTATTTATTTATTTATTTATTTATTTGAGTGGGAGGGGGACAAGAAGACTCAGCACTGAGAACAGAACCCAGTGCGGGGTTTGATCCCACAACTAAGATCCTGACCTGAGTGGAAACCAAGAGTAGGGTGCTTAACCAACTGACCCACCCAGGCGCCCCCCCCCCGCCACCGCATACACTTTTTTAAAAGTTATGACATTTACAACTGTATCAGTTCCACATTGGTTTTTAAGATACCCATCCTGGGGCTCCCCACCAACCATCACACTATGCTTACCTCCCAATACAGCTTCTTACAGAAAACAGCAGGGAGCCTAAAGGAAACATTTATTTATTTTTTTTAAAGATTTTATTTATTTGAGCGAGAGCGCAAGAGAGAGCATAAGAGGGGAGAGGGTCAGAGGGAGAAGCAGACTCCCCACTGAGTGGGGAGCCTGATGCAGGATTCGATCCCTGGACTCCAGGATCATGACCTGAGCTGAAGACAGACGCCCCACCAACTGAGCCACCCAGGCGCCCCTAAAGGAAACATTTATGTTCATTATGCAGCATCAGTACTCTGGAATCCAAAATGAGAAGGAAGGCTTTCGGGGCAATCAAGGTTGCAGCAATACAGAATGAGCCAGAACAGCAGGGAACTCTGAAAGTCCTCATTTCTGCATCGTGCCGAGGTGCCCCGTTAGCCAGTGCCTGGCCCAGCTGCTGGCCAGCGACGGGCACTGAATGAGGATGTAAGGGATCAACCGCCACCAGTCGAGTGAACTAATCCAAAAAGACAGAGGGAGGACTGAGCACTAAAACTTATTTAAATATGAGAGACTTTCAAGTCCGAATCTCGAAGCGGATACACAGAGAAGGAGGCAGACCTGTGGCCAGTCTGATACAGTCCTGTACACCACCCCATTCTTCAACAACAGGACGGAACTGGAAAAGTGCCTCATCAGAGGGTTAAAAATATGAACAAATTTAGTGAAGAGATGTATCAATGAAGAACCCTAAGGCTGGAATGGGGGAACATATGGTAACCATAGAAAAAGGAAAGAGGCCTAGAGGTAAAAAGAGAAATCAGGAAACCAGCTGGCAAGTGCTAGGGAAGTGAAATGCTGTCCCCACTAGAAAGCTGGATCCCAGCGACAAGGCACAGGAAGCCATGGTGCGAACACGCAGCATGGACCCACGGGCGTGAAGGGACCCTTCTCTCCCATGGCCCAGACCAGCCCTGCTAAGCAGTGTAACTTTCCCCGCAACGTCAGGGACATGCGGAGATGGGTCTTTTCTCTTCACAAGGTGTACTTTCTCTGCAGGTCAAAGTGGAGGTGTGGCTATTCCCTGGCACATGGGTGCTTGGTTTTTGGAAGGGATAGTCATGATGATGTATGCTATGGACTGAATATATGTCCCCCCAAAAGTCCTATGTCGAAACCTAATCCCCAAGGTGATGGTTTTTGGAGGGTGGAGCCTCCCTGAACGGATTTGGTTTCGTGCTCCTATGAAAGAGACTCCAGAGAGCTCCCTGGCCCTTCCTGCCACGTGAGGCCACAGAACGCTGAAGAGGGGCCTCACCAGAGCTGGACCACGCTGGTGCCATGACCACGGGCTTCCAGGCTGCAGAGCTATGGGAGACAGATGCCTCCCAGTCTGTGGCGTCTATTACAGCAGCCAGACAGACGGAGACAATGTGCTTCTGGGAGTGACCTTGAAAAGGCCAATGACACATGGCCTGCCTTGCCCCCATGAAACTGTTCCTGGAGGAGGTCCTGCTCTGCTGTCTGTGAGTGTGTCAGCACAGGAGATGGTCTCCAGCCTGTGGCTGTCCCCTTCTTTGTCTCTGTGACACCACTTGGCCAGGCTGTGGAGTGTTGAAGTGGAGCCTTCCATCCTGCTTTTGTCTCTAGGGTGTCTTCCACGGGGGCTGGGCCAGACCCTCAGCCCACGATGGCATTACTGAGGCTCTGCCCTACCCCCGTCATCCTCAGGAAACATGGACGGGGCAGTGTTACTGCACGCTGCATAAGAAAGAGGCAGCTGCCGGCTAGAGGCACAGTCACACGGAAATGACTGAGCACAGGGCCGGCCTGGCTGCCAGCACCCTGTCTCAGAGCACAGGGGACATACCCTCCACTCCACAGTTGCTGATCTGTACACCAGGGAGCCACACACTTACCTCAGAAACAAAATGTAGTTTCTTTGGTAATTCTAAATCACAAAGGGATAGTTTAGGCGGCACAGAGTGACTGACTAGCCTAAAACCTTGTTCTTCCAGTTGCCAATGCCCACCGTTGTAAGCAGGAGAGGAGGTGAGCCGAGGTGCTGGTGCCAGACAGGTCTACACCCACACTGTGGATGTGCCCATCACACAGATGTCACCACTAGGAGATGCCACCACTAGGGCCTAACGGGATCTAGCGCTCTTCTCTGTGTCTACAAGTTAACATAAAAATCTGAGAAAGGAAGAACACAAATTTGAAGTGACTACTTAGGAATTAATTCTCAGATTTTTTTCTAGTAGTTTCTGCAAAATGAAAATGGAACCAAAAAGTGATCAGTTTTAAAAGTGGGATCTTCGCAAAAGTTGCATGCAAACCAGGTTGACGACCGCCCTCTTTGGGGAATGCACCCATGTGAGGAAGCTGGCTGCTCAGTCCTCAAGCAGAGGGGCCTGGGGCAGGTTACCAAACCTTTTCTGGCCTCCAATAAGGATAACAGTCGTGCCCACATCATGGGTTACTAAGAGGAGTCACACATTCATAAGCGTTTATCACTGTTGTTCATGTGAGGACTCCCATGTGAACACTTGGGAAGTGACAGAAAGGGCACCTGGAACAAGGGCCGGGGAGCGGGAGCCATGAGGACCCTCCCCCCGGCCCTCCTGGGACGAAGCAGCAGCAATCCTCGACCAGCCCCTCCCCCTGCGGGTCTTTGTGCTCCCTGGCCTCCTCCTCAGCCTACAGGGAAGGGTCTCTGTGAAGACTCTTCCTGTGGCCCCAGGCTAGGAGAGGCGCCCTCAACGCTCGCTCCCTGGCAATTTATTCAGCACCTGTGGTAGGCTGAACAATGAATGACCCAAACACATCCAGGTCCCAATCCCTGGAACCTATGACTGTCACCCTCCATGGCAACAGGGACTTTGCAGATGACTGAGTTAAGGGGTCTAAGATGAGAAAATGATCCTGGATTATCTGGGTGGGCCCTAAATGCCATCACACGTGTCCTTGTTTGAGGGAGGCTGAGGAAGATGTGCACATACAGAGTAAGAAAAGGTTTCCTAAAGACAGAAGCAGAGAGAAACTTGAGGATGCTGTATGGCTGGTTTTGAACATGGAGTAAGGTGCCATGAGCCAAGTAATGCATTCCTAGAAAACAAGAAAATGGATCCTCCCCTAGATCCTCAATGGAGCAAGGCCCTATGGACACTTTGATTTCTGCCCAGCGATACTGCTCTCAGACTTCTGACCTCCAGAACTGAAAAAAAAAAAAATAGATGCGTGTGGTTTTAGGCCATCAAGTTTGTGGCAATTTGTTATGGCCGCAATAGGAAACTAATACAGCTCTCTAGAAGTAAAGAACCAACTCATTCCTGCTTATCATTTTATTCCTGGAAACTAGATCAATGACAGCACATAATAGGTGCTTAATAACTATTTTCCCAAAAAATAACTAATAAGCCAAGGCTCTGCAATTCATATTTTCTTAAGTCACGTAGGAATGAAAACTCAAGTCAGCAGTGTTTTGTTTTGCTCTCTAACATAACCTCAACCCAAAGAGGCAAACTATTACTGTGACTTGAAATGCTTCTCCCAAACAGATATGTTGAGTCCTAACCCTGGTCTTTGCAGCTATAATTAGTTAAGATGCGGTCATACGAGAATAGGGTGGGCCCTGATCCAATGGGACTGGTGCCCTTATAAGAAGAGGAGAGAACACAAGGACAATGACAGCAGAGACTGAAATGCTGCAGCTGCAAGCCTAGAAACAGCAAGGATCACTGGCCTCCACCAGAAACAAGCAGAGACGAGGAAGGATCCTGTCCTTGAGAGACCTTGACTTCAGACTCCCAGCTTCCAGAACTGTGAGAATAAACTTCTCTTGCTGTTTTTTTAAGATTTTATTTATTTATTTGAGAGCAAGAGAGAGAGAGAACAAGTGGCAGGGAGGAGAGGGGCAGAAGGAGAGGGAGAAGCAGGCTCCCCACTGAGCAAGGAGCCTGATGCGAGACTTGATCCCAGGACCCTGGGATCACGACCTGAGCCGAAGGCAGATGCTTCACCGGCTGAGCCACCCAGGCGTCCAGAGAATAAATTCCTGCTGTTTTATGCCACCTAAGTTTGTAGAACTTTGTGATGGCCGCCCCAAGAAACGGACGCAGCACCTGACATAGAGCCGGCACTCAACCAGCCTCTGTTGAACGGCTCTTAGGATAAACAACACCCGAATGCTGCATGACTGGACAGAGGACTCCGTGTTCTGGGCCAGATCAGTCCAGAAACCATTCTTTCTCCCTGTGTACCTCAGGAGCCGGACTTAGTCAAAGTGCTTTCACTTAGAATTTCCCTGTCTGTACTGCAGACACCTAGAGAAAAGATATTTTCAGCAAGTTCCTAGGGCTTTAAAAAAACATTTTATGGGAATCCTTACATCCCAGACATACGCATTTTAGAAGGCTGAGTGGAGGGGCCAGGGGCCTGCAAAACCATGCGCATACACTGGCTCTCCACGATGTGAGCCATTTCAGGGTGTCCCTTCTGTCTGTATAATTATCACCCTTCGTGTATCTCTTTCTAGCGAAAGTGACCACTTTAATTTGGAAAGTCCTGCAGTGAGAGCTGGTGTCATGCAGAGAGAGCCCCTGTAAGCCTCCCGTCTGGCGTCAGCCACACGTCTGGGCAGGGTGGTGCCAGCCACTTACCTGGTGCATTCCTCAAAGTCGTCCTTGCCGGGGTTCTGCTTCAGTCTCAACCGACATTCTCTCAAAACATGGGAAGGTATTTCTGGTAAAGGGACTGCTGACTTTTTAATACAGCACAAACCAAATGCATAACAATTAGTGATTTCATAATTTACCAATTGTAAACAGAACCTAATGCTTACTGTAAGAAAAAAGTACAACATCAAGTGTATGAAATAACAAAGTGCCACCTTCACCCGCCACCCCGCTGTCATTTTCCAGAGTTCACTGTGTTGTCCACCTTTTCAGATGTTTTCCTAAGCAAATCAAATCAGAGCGAAAAGCAAGGTTTTGGGGAGGTATCTGTACACCCATATCCACAGCAGCATTATTCACAATATCCAAAAGGTTGGAGCAACCCAAGGGTCCAGTGACAGACGAATGGATAAACACCATGGTCCCTCCATGCAGGGGAATGTTACTCAGCTTCAAAGAGGAAGGACGTTCTGACACCTGCTACAACAGGGATGAACCTTGAGGACACTGTGCTCGGTGAAATGAGCCAGTCACAAAAGGACAAATACTGTATGATCCCACTTCTGTGAGGTCCCTGAAATGGTCAGAATACTAGAGATGGAACGTGGAATGGTGGTTGCCTAGGGTCTGGGGGAGGGGAAAGTGGGAGCTGTGTTTAATGGGGACAGAGTTTCAGATTTGCAGGATAAAGAAAGTTCAGGAGATGGATGGTAGTACAGGCTGCCCACCAATGTCAGTACGTGTAATGCTACCGAACTGTACACTTAGAAATGGTTACAATGATCAATTGTATGTCTCTTTTGCCATAATTAAAAATATAAACACATACACATGCACACAAAGCCTCAGAAATAAACAATTTTTTCTTACAAAAATGGGATAAAAATACATATGTAGTTTTATAAATATGTGCTGCTACCTAGAGAGCTACCATATCTTCTTAAAGACTGCATGGTTTCCCAGAGTATACGCCTATCTGTCCTTCTTACACATGCTACCTGCCCATTTTCTCCACTGCAGACACCACTGTCATGAACATCTTTGTACAACTGTGTTTTTATAAGACAGATTCCTGAAAGTAGAATTACTAGCTCAAAGGATACACGTCTCTTAAACATTGATATTTATTGCAAAGCTGACCTCCAAAAAGGCTCTACCACTTTACATTCTCACTAATATGTCCCTACGTGCCCGCTTCCCATTCTCTTAACCCTCAACTAGAGAATTCTGGAGAAAGAAACACATAACAAAACTACTGTCCAGATTTATTGAAAAAGATACCCAGATCATGTTCAGTTATACATTTAATTTGTCATTAGACATGAAAAATGCATTCTAAACTGATTTCTGACAGTGGTATAGCTGAGTTAGCACAGCAAAACTGTGTTTTCTACAAATCAAAGAAACACTTCCATCAAAGTTGAACTAGTGATAGAAATATACAACAATATAGAAAATTCACATTTAAAAAAATGAACAATATTGTTATAATTAATAATGATTAATAGGCGTCAATTAAAAGATCTAACAGAAGTGAGGCTTTTTCCCATCTATACTATGTCTGCCTTCGGCTCAGGGTCCTGGGATCGAGCCTGTGTCAGGCTCCCTGCTCAGTGGGGGGTCTGCTTCTCCCTCTGCCCTTCCCCACCCCCACCCCCTTGGCTTGTGCGCTCTCTCTCTCTCTCAAATAAATAAAATACTTATTAAAAAATAAAAAAGAAGGAGAGATAAAGAGTTTTCCAGGCAAACAAAACTAAAGGAGCTCATCATCACTAAACCAACACTGCAAGAAATATTACAGGGGACTCCTTGAGTGGAAAGGAAAGACCAAAAATGACGGTATGAAGGGACGTAATACAAAAGCAGTAAAAATGAATACTTCTGTAAAAAACAGTCAAGGAACTCACAAAAATAAGAGGATGTAAAATACGACACCATATACCTAAAATGTGGGAAGGAAAGGAGTAAAGAATGGGTTCAAACTTAAACGACCATCAACTTAATATAGACTGTTATATGCAGAAGATGTTATGTATCGACCTAATGGTAACCACAAATCAAAAACCACTAATAAATATGCAAAGAATAAAGAGAAATAAATTCAAATATATCACTAAGGAAAACCAGCAAATCATGAAAGAGAGAAAGACAAGAAAGGATCAGAGAAAATCTTCAGAAACAACCACAAAACAAGTAATAAAATGGTAATAAATACATATCTATCAATAACTACTTTGAACATAAATGAACTAAATGCTCCAATCAAAAGACATAGGGTGTCAGAATGGATAAGAAAAAAAGACCCATCTATATGCTGCCTACAAGGGACTCATTGTAGACCTAAAGCCACCAGCAGATTGAAAGTGAGGGGATGGAGAAATATCTATCATGCAAATGCTTGTCAAAAGAAAGCCAGAGTAGCAATACTTACATCAGACAAAATAGACTTTAAAACAAAGACTATAATAAGCAACAAAGAAGGACATTATATAATAAATAATAAAGGGGGCAATCCTACAAGAAGATATAACAATTATAAATATTTATGCATCCAACCTGGAAGCACCCAAAAACATAAAACAGTTAATAACAAACATAAAGGATCTAATCAATAATAATACAATAATATCAGGGAAATTTAACTCCCCACTCACATCAATGGACAGATCATCTAAACAGAAAATCAACAAAGAAACATTGGCTTTGAATGACACATTGGACTAGATGAATTTAACAGATACATTCAGAACATTCCATCCTCAAACAGCAGAATACACATTCTTTTCAAGTGCACATGGAACACTCTCCAGAATAGATCACATATTAGGCCACAAAACAAGCCTTAACAAACTTAAAAAGATCGAAGTCATACTGTGTATCTTTTCTGACATAACACTATGAAACTAGAAGTCAACCACAAGAAAAAATCTGGAAAGACCACAAATACAAGGAGGTTAAATACCATGCTACTAAACAATGAATGGGTCAACCAGGAAATAAAAGATGAAATAAAAAAGCACATGGAAACAAACGCAAATGAAAACACAATAGTTCAAAACCTTTGGGAAGCAGCAAAAGTAGCCATAAGAGGGAAGTTTATAGCAATACAGGCCTACTTCAAAAGGCAAGAAAAATCTCAAATAAATAACCAAACCTTACACCTAAGGGAGCTGGAAAAAGAACAACAACAACAAAAAAACACCTAAAACCAACAGGAAGAAGGAAATAATAAATATTAGAGCAGAAATAAATGATATATTTCTGAAACAAATAATGCAATATATGTTAAGAAAAAAAAAGAAGAAGAAGAAGAAGATAGCAGGAGGGGAAGAATGAAGGGGAGTAAGTCGGAGGGGGAGACGAACCATTAGAGACGATGGACTCTGAAAAACAAACTGAGGGTTCTAAAGGGGAGGGGGGTGGGGGGATGGGTTAGCCTGGTGATGGGTATTAAAGAGGGCACATTCTGCGTGGAGCACTGGGTGTTATGCACAAACAATGAATCATGGAACACTGCATCAAAAACTAATGATGTAATGTATGGTGGTTAACATAACAATAAAAAAATTATTAAAAAAAAAAAGAAAGAAATGATATAGAAACTAAAAAACCAATAGAACAGATCAATGAAACCACGAGCTGGTTCTTTGAAAAAAATCAATAAAATTGATTAACCTCTTATTTGGATAAAGGATTCAAATAAATAAAATCACAAATGAGAGAGGATAAATACCAACAAACACCACAGAAGTACAAACAATTATAAAAGAATATTATGAAAAACTGTATGCCAACAAATTGGACAAAGTAGAAGAAATGGAGAAATTCCTAGAAACATATAAACTACCAAAACTGAAACAGGAAAAAACAGAAAATCTGAACACACCAATTACCAGCAAAGAAATTGAATCCATAATAATAATAATTTAAAAAAAAAAAACTCCTAACAAACAAAAGTCTAGGACCAGATGGTTTCACAGGTGAATTCTACCAAACATTTAAAGAAGAATTAACATATATTCCTTTCAAACAATTCCAAAAAATGGAAAAGGAAGGAACATTTCCAAATTCATTCTATGAGGCCAGCATTACCCTAATACCAAAACCAGATAAAGACACGACAAAAAAAGAGAACTACAAGCCAAAATCTCTGATGAACACAAATGCAAACAGCCTCAACAAAATACTAGCAAACCAAACCCAAAAATACATTGAAAAAAAAATCATTCATGATCATTCACAATCAAGTGGGCTTTATTCCTGGGTTGCAAAGGTGGTTCAATATTCACAAATCAATCAATATGATACATCACATCAACAAGAGAAAGGATAAAAACCATATGATCATTTCAACAGACACAGAAAAAGCATCTGACAAAGTACAACATCCATTCATGATAAAAAAAAAAAACAAAACCTCAACAAAGTAGGTTTAAAGAGAACACACTGCAACATAATAAAGGCCATATAGGAAAAACTCACAGCTAACATCATCCCCAATGGGGAAAAACAGAGCTCTTCCTCTGCAGTTAGGAACAAAAAAACAGGGATGTCCACTCTCACCACTTTTATTCAACATAGTACTAGAAGTCCTAGCCACAGCAATCAGACAAGAAAAAGGAATAAAGGGCACCCAGATTGGTAAAGAAGAAGTAAAACTTTCACTATTTGCAGATGACATGATGCTATATATAGAAAACCCTAAGGACTCGACCACAAAACTACTAGAGCTGATAAATGAATTCAGTAAGGTTGCAGTATACAAAATTGATGTATAGAAACCAATTGAATTTCTATACACCAATAATGAAACAGCAGAAAGAAAAATTAAGAAAACAATCCCATTTATAATTATACCAAAAATAATAAAATACTTAGGAATAAGCTCAACCAAGGAAGTGAAAAGCCTGTACTCTGAAAATTTTATTTTTTTTTTTAAGATTTTATTTATTTATTTGAGAGAGAGAGAGAGAATGAGAGATAGAGAGCACAAGAGGGAAGAGGGTCAGAGGGAGAAGCTGACTCCCCGCTGAGCAGGGAGCCCGACATGGGACTCGATCCCGGGACTCCAGGATCATGACCTGAGCCGAAGGCAGTCGCTTAACCAACTGAGCCACCCAGGCGCCCCTACTCTGAAAATTTTAAAACACTGACAAAAGAAATTGAAGACGATGTAAACAGATGGAAAGATATTCCATGCTCATGGATTGGAAGAACAGATATTGTTAAAATGTCTAAACTACCACAAGCAATCTACAGATTTAATGCATTCCCTATCAAAATATCAACAGCATTTTTCACAGAACTAGAAGAAATAATCTTAAAATTTATATGGAACCACAAAGACCCCAAATAGCCAAAGCAATCTTGAAAAAGAAAAACAAAGCTGGAGGTATCACAATTCCAGATTTGAAGATATAATACAAAGCTGAAGTAATCAAAACAGTATGGTACTGGCACAAAAACAGACACACAAATCAATAGAACAGAACAGAAAACCCACAATTATATGGTCAATTAATCTTGGACAAAGGAGGCAAGAATATGCAACGGGAAAAAGATGGTCTCTTCAACAAATGGTGTTAGGAAAACTGGACCACCTTCTTACACCATACACAAAAATAAACTCAAAATGGATTAAAGACCTAAATGTGAGACCTGAAACCATAAAAATCCCAGAAGAACGCACAGGCAATAATTTTTCTGACATAGGCCACAGCAACTTTTTTCTAGATATGTCTCCTGAGGCACGGGAAACAAGCAAAAATTAAGTCTTGGGATTACATCAAAATAAAAAGCTTCTGCACAGTGAAGGAAACAATCAACAAAACAAAAAGGTAACCTACTGAATGGGAGAAGATATTTACAAATGACACATACAATAAAGACTTAGTATCCAACATATATAAAGAACTTCTAAAACTCAACACCCAAGAGACAAATAATCTGATTAGAAATAGGCAGAAGACATGAACAGACATTTCTCCAAAGAAGACACACAGATGGCCAACACACACATGAAAAGATGCTCAACACCCCTCGTCATCAGGGAAATGCATATCAAAACCACAGTGAGATACCACCTCACACCTGTCAGGCGGCTAAAATCAACAATACAAGAAAGAACAAGTGTTGGTGAGGATGTGGAGAAAAAGGAACCCTCGTGCACTGTTGGTGGGAATGCAAACTGGTGTGGCCACTGTGGAAGACAGTATGGAGGTTCCTCAAAAAATTAAAAATAGAAATACCATACGATCCAATTATCACACTACTGAGTATTCACCCAAAGAATATGAGAACACTAATTCAAAGGGATACATGCACCCCTATGTTTATTGCAGCATTATTTACAATAGCCAAACTATGGAAGCAGCCTAAGGGTCCATCGACTGATGAATGGATAAAGAAGAGGTGATATATATATACAATGGAATATTATTCAGCCTTAAAAAGAATGAAATCTTGCCATTTGCAACAACTATGGATGGATCTAGAGAGTATAATGCTAAACGAAATAAGTTAGTCAGAGAAAGACAAAGACTATATGATTTCACTCATATGTGGAATTTAAGAAACAAAACAAATGAGCAAAGAAAAAAAGAGAGAGAGACAAAGCAAGAAACAGACTCTTAACTATGGAGAACAGACTAACCAGAGGGAGGTGGTGGGGGGATGGATGAAATAGGTGATGGGGATTAGGAAGGGCACTTGTTGTGATGAGTACCAGGTGATTAAAATTAAAACTTAAAAAAAAAAACTCATGGGGAAAATTAAAACAATGTTTTATGTTTTGACTAATTATTGTGAATACAGTCATAAAATAATGTCAACGTCAAAATTATTTTTAAGGTAAGAAAGGTTTATTTCTATTGTCAAAAAAATAAAAAATATAAACCTATTCAGTGATTTCAGTTGAAAAAAAATGGAATTAGGTATCTTCCCAATTACTGGGGGTACCTACAAATATGTGGATGCTGCAGCAGCTGTGTTGGAAAAGAATGATCTAGGAGCCATGGTATTGATGCTGGAGGCCAAGGCAAGCACAGGCTTAAGAGTCAAAACCTATCTGGTCTGAAGCACACCTCTGCCACCACTGGTTGTGTGTGTATCTTTGTGCTCACTTGCCAATCCACTGGCCTTCCCCCGTGCCCGCCCCCCCGCCTCCGCACTCTATCTTTTGCACCAGTTAGCTTCCCCTTCTTGATGGCCCTACCAGGTTCAGTGAGCTGGGCTCAGAATCTGAACATTTTGGACTCATTTTCACTACACTATTCTCCAACCCCAGTCTCTCCATGTTTGATTCCTAGCTCTCACACTTAACAAGCTGTGTAACCTTTGGTGAGCCACTTAGCCACTCTGATGTTCAGTCTTACCATATGACAAGAGACATAATAATGTACCCACCTCATAGGATTGTTGTATTACACATACACGCCCTAGAGCAGTATTCACTAAGTGTTAGCTATCCTTGTTACTGTTCTCCAGCCCTACAACACAGGGGCCTGCCCAGGGTTTAGGACTTCTAATAGACTACAAAAGGGAAGTCCTGTGAAGAGAAGCAGGTTACAGCTCTACTTTCAGGGACATACTAAACTGTATTGAATCTACTGAATGAAAAAGCTTTATAAAACCCAAGACCCATTAAAGCTGTTAGGAAAAAAACTGTTATTTTCAGTCCAAGACAGATAAAATTCTCTAATGCTGTATTCTGTTTGAGGAAACACAGAAACTTTTAAATTCTTTGAATTAATTTTCTATGAGATTTGTTAATTTCCTCACCCACTCAAAAGAAAATGCATGAGAGGAATATCTATAGGAAATTAAAGATTTTAACATACTTGTTATATGTTATCCAACTAAGTAAGAAGGGCTATGTCCTCTAATTATTTAAGTAAGCACTAATAAATCTTTGCATCTAAGGAAGAAAACACACCTCGGCACCGAAGAACATGTCTATGATCTGCAGTCCACAGTTTCTCCGGTCCTCATCTGCAGCGACTTCATATTCCGCCTGACGGTAGAGAGGAGAACAAAGAAAAATAGTAGTGGAGCTTCTTCACTGACTTCACAGTGTTTCGAATTCTCTGACATACAGAATCAGCTGGGTACCCTGAGAACCAGAGAGTAGCTCTAATTGATTTGATATTGATCCAGTATCTGCAGCTCTTCTTTGGGAAAACTAATGGCAATGAAGGGGAAAAAGTTTTCTTTGAGGGGTGAATAATGCAGTAGCGCAACACGTTCCACAGTGCTCTCTCTGTCATATTACACTTTCAGCCCTTCAATGTGGCCAAATAAAATAGAATCAAATAAACAGCTTGCATTGCTCTAGGCAACAGCATTTTTTAAGAAATGTCCAAGAGGCACGTGGCAAATCTGAGTGCAGAGCTCCCAGAGAAGTCAGAGTTGGTGACACCAAAGCAGGAGACGTCCCTACGCAGGTGTCAGGCGGGGGACCGTAAGAGAGGATACCACCATGTAGGCCAGAAACCAGAGGAAGGGTCAAGGCAGAACTTGATCAGTATCTAAACCTCTACAAAGGGTAAGCAAGGAAGAAACTGAAAAGAGAGAAAACCTGAGGAGAGATCATAAAAGCCTGGCTAAGAGTATTTCAAGCAGAGGCCACTCCACAATGTCAACAGACTTGGAGACTCAGGCACGAGGAGGCCTCGGTGAAGCCACTGGATCCTGCAGGTCGGGGCCTGAGAAGAGCAGCAAAGCTAACAGCCAGATGGGCTTGGAGAGATTGGTGAGGAAACCAAGCCTGGAGGAAGTTCATGTACTGAACACGTAAAGTCCTTGTGGGCAGGCGTCAGACCTCCAGAATACTTGATTCTGCCTCCTCCCGTGGGCCCAGCACAGGAGCCATGGCTGACAGGGCTGACGACCGGTCAGAGCCAGCTTCATGTTCTGTGTTCAAAGGCACTGTATTCACCCGACTAGTAACTAGACCCAGCTGACTTAGAGAACCTTCCAGCCTACATTCTGGATGCTGGATGGCATGCAATCAATGGATTTTGTGATGGTCTTTCCACGTGCCAACCTGGCAGGAACAATGTCCAGTAGTTGTTCAAATACTAATCTAGTCATTGCTGTGCTGGTATTTGTAGGTGTGATTAAAGTCTTTACCAGCTGACTTTAAGTAAAGGAGATTATTTTAGAGAATCTGGGTGGGTCTGATTCAATCAGTTGAAGGGCATTAAAACCAGAGTTTAGGCTTCCTGAAGGAATTCTGCCTGAGGACAGCAGCTTCACTCCATGTTTGGAGGATTCCCTCCTGTCCTATAGATTTAAGACTCTCCTAACCAGACCTCATGATTGTGTAGGCCAATTCCTTGCAACAAACCTCTTAATAAATCTCTCCTATTGGTTGTTTCTCTCACTGAACACTAATTGCCAAAGATGCCATTAATTCAGTCAACAAACACTAAGCAGAAAAGAGCAAACAATCATGCCAGGTGCCATGAGGGAAATAGATAAAATGTAGTCTCTCCACTCCCGAAGCTCCAAGAACCTGCAATCATATACCACAAGGACAGTCCAAGCAGCGAGGACTGTGCAAACGGCATAATTAGGTGTTATTTATTAACCCACACAGCTGCCGCCAAAAAGAAAACAAAACACAGAACAGAACCTGTCACTGAAGTCAACTGGCAGTCACCTAACAAGTAATAGGTCTCGTGTCACTATGAGAAGATCCAAACCTGAACAAATGTTAACAACGCAATTTAGCCATTTTGAAATAAAGAACTGTAGGTCCCTAAATTTTTAAAATAGAGCAGCTTGGCAAATATAACCCAATACACTAAGCCACATCTATATTCTACTCCTGGAACTGAGAAGGCCTGCCCCACAACACCAGAGTTCTAGCTTAAAAAAAAAATTACCTCCTTTCAAAGCCTTGTCTTATTCTAGTAAAGGCACCAGGAAGGAAAGGGCTGGGGAGCTCCACAGAGGAGAGGCAAGAGCCTCAAATGTTTTTCTGAAAGAATACAGGCATACCTCGTTTTATTGCGCTCTGCTTTGTTGCACTTCACAGACAATGCATTTCTTTACAAATTGAAGGTCTGTAACAACGCTGTGGCCAACAAGTCTATTGGTGCCATTTTTCCAACAGCATTTGGTTATGTCATGTCTCTGTGTCATAATTTGGAAATTCTCCCAATATTTCAAACCTTTTCATTACTGTTATGTTCATTTTGGTGATGTGTGATCAGTGATTTTTTTTATGTTACTTGTAACGGTTTTGGGGCTACCTGAACCGCATTATATAAGGCAGTGAACTTAAGTAATAAATATTCTGTGTGTTCTGACTGCTCCACTGACCAGCCCTTCCCCTCTCTTTCCCTCTCCTCGGGCCTCCCAATTTATCAAGACACAATATTGAAATTAGACCAATTAATAACCCTATGTTGGCCTCTAGGGGCACCTGGGTGGCTCAGCCAGTGAAGCCCCTGCCTTTGGCTCAGGTCGTGATCCCAGGGTCCTGGGATGGAGCCCCACGTCAGGCTCCCTGCTCAGCGCGGAGTCTGCTTCTTCCTCTGCCCCTCCCCCCATCATGCTCATGCCCTCTCACGCTCTCCCTCTCTCATAAATAAAATCTTTTAAAAAAAAAACAACTGTAATGACCTTTAAGTGTTCAAGTGAAAGGAAGAGTCAATCAATGTTGCAAACTTCTATCTTGTCTTATTTTAAGAAACCGCCACAGACACCCTAACCTTTGGCAAACCCTACCCTGACCAGCCAGCAGCCATCAACATCCAGGCAGGACCCCCCACCAGCAAAAAAGATGATGCCTCACTGAAAGGTCTGAGTATGGGTAGCATTTTCCAGCAACAGAGTATTTTTTAATTAAGGAGGGAACATTATTTTTTTTAGATTAGTGTTGTACAGTTAATAGATTACAGTATAGTGTAGACATAACTTTTATATGCAATGGGAAACAAAAAAATTCATTTGACTTGATTCATCACAATATTCGCTTCATTGACAGGTCTGGACCTGGACCCACGGGATCTCTGAGTATGTCTGCACTGACCATTTGTTGGAAGGAGGATCGTCTGCTTCCGGACTCCAGCTGACCGCAGGTAACTGAAACCACGGAAAGCAAGACCGCAGATAAGGGGAAATATTATATAGGGATTTCCATGCCAAGGTAGCATGACACCAAGAAACTAGTTTATCCACTCTTACCATTATTGCCAAGGTCTGCTTAACTTAGAGAGACCTAAGTTTTTAGATCTAGTCTGTTAATTTTCAAAAGCACAAGATGAGGTAGTTCAACACTGAGATAAATTGCTTACCACTGCATCCAGGAATTCAATGCATCCTTTTAGATCATGTTGTGTATCACAGAATTCCCTGAAGAGAAGTCTTCCTATTGGTTGCTTGTCACAAAGACTGCTATAATCCTTTTCTGGATGAAGAAAGGGGATAAGAAATAAACCAATATGATTGTTACAAGTCAGAAAGTGCTTTCTGAACTGCTGTTTTCACCTGATAAAGTAAAAGTCAAAAATAGTATTTATGGGTTGTTTCTTTTTTTAAACTACTTGATTGTTTACTAATGTAGACTGGGTCATCATGAATATTTATAGTATCTGGATAGAGCCAAAGAACCTGGAAGAACTGATAAATAAAGGTGTGTGAAGCATACCTGGAAATGTCCCTGCCCCCCTCCTCCAAAAGGAATTCTGCAGGGGAGAGGTATTCCTGGGGAACTGAGCAGTCAAGATCACAGCAAAGGGAGAGAGGGGCAAAAAAGAGATTTGGCTCCATCCTTCCACAGGCCTAACCCCCAGTGTGTTGGGCACAAACTGCACGTATGTGAAATACACCACAGGAATGTACTCAAGCACATTTTTTAAAACTCTTTTCCATTTTGCTATCTTTTTACACTTTTACAAGTTACAAACATTACATATGCTTAATTATTTTTAAACTGCTCTTGGGTTTATTTTTTTTCTTTTCAGTGGGTAATATGTTATATACCTTAACCTTACCACACACACTGATACTGTTTTGAGAACGAGGCACTAATATTTAGTCAAAATATCAAGAGGGATATAAAACAAAAATGTCATGTTCAAAATAGGTTAACTTAAACATCAGCAAGAAAATCAGTTGCTCTTTTAGCAGTGGCTCTGAACCTGAAATGAACATCATATTGAAGTATTCCTAAAGTGGCTCTAAAGCTGAAGAATTAAATAAAATTCATGAAAAGTAAGCAAGCCATAATAAATTCCTCAATTAAAGGGTTTATTCATGCCAAGTAGTTGTAAGAATCTAAACAACCCTACTTTAGGTGGCTGAGTTTGCAAATGGAAAAGTATAGGCAAGGAGAGAAATATTTTGGTTGCCAGTACACAGGCGCTTGTTTCAACAAACAATAGTTTTGCAAAATTTCTACCACCTACTTTGTCCAATTTTACTACCACGTTTTATTTGAGGGATACTATATTTAAAAAACAAAAGACACAGGCAGTCAAAAAGTGACATTTTTACAATACTGAGAGTTTTTAACACTTTCCTCCCAAATTCAAGGGTTCAGGAATGTTCCTAGTTTCCAGCTAAGGACTGCAAATGGAGCATACAGGTCTGCCTACTTTTTCTCCGAGATTCCTATAGAAATGACCAAAAATTCAAACAAAAACCAAAGCCACAACAAAAAGAATGAAACCCAACATGGAAAACGAATACAGGGCAGCCACAGGAGTCCGAAATTTGAGGATCACCTGGAAGAGAAAAAGCCGCTGGGTTGGATTGTTAAAGAACCATCAGCTTAAACCCTACAGAAGAGCTGGACTTCCTAAGGGAGCCCCGCCCACACGCCTAGAGCCCAGTGAGGGGGGTGGGGGGCTGGGGGGGTGCAGGGGATGTCCAAGTCCTGATCAGAATGACTGACTAAGGGCCTAAGATTTAGAGGCACCACTAAGTGCTAAACATAACCAATGATGGCTGACCCACATCCAGAGGCATCCCGGTGACATTCCCAACAGTAAGGAGAAAGGAGGAAACCTCTGGCGAAGAGCAAAACATTAGCTACAACACGTAAAGTATCAGAGACGCTGTATTAACAAAGCCAGAAACTAGTACACCAATGTTTTCAAAGTTCAGGGGTCAAGGGAGGTGGAAATATACAATTCTGTAACTATCAAACAAGAAGTCAAAAAAGGGACATTTTCCAAAATTTAAGAACTCAGAAACTTTACCTTCCATTCACCCTATATATAAAAAAAATTACTAAAAAAAAAAAAGAAGAAGAAGAAGAATTACTTGAGGAGTTATCATAATAAAATAAGAGAAATTTTAAAAAGGATATAGAGGGGCACCTGGGTGGCTCAGTCGTTAAGCGTCTGCCTTCGGCTCAGGTCATGGTCCCAGGGTCCTGGGATCGAGCCCCGCATCGGGCTCCCTGCTCGACGGGAAGCCTGCTTCTCCCTCTCCCACTCCCCCTGCTTGTGTTCCCTCTCTCGCTGTGTCTCTCTCTGTCAAATTAAAAAAAAAGAAAAGAAAGAAAGAAAATAGAAACCAAAAGGGACAGTGGGTATAATCTAGAAGAAGCAAAGAAATACAGAAAAATAAATAACCCTATCAAGATATTGGGAATACTATCCTTGGCAAAGTGTGATCAGTGCAGAATAGTTTCCTTTTATTGGCTCCAACCACACTTGCTCGTTTCCGGATCACATGGAATATAATTATAATATGTACTACTGTACCATATTTTAACTCTTAAAATAGTCTGTGGACCAAGAGACAGAGAAGGTAAGTGACTGACCCAACAAATAGTTCACAGTGGCTGAAAAAGGGGACTCAGGGAAGCAAAATGTAGAGGCAAACGAAGCTTTACAAAACTGGAGGGAAAAAAAAACAAGACTGGGATCACATTTTCCACAAGCCTTGATATCATACCAAGGAACTCTCTCTACCTTAGAAGGAACAGAGCATAATAACTAGTGGCGATGCTTCTTCACCTGTCACCGTGTGCCAGGTACTATTTTGAGTCCTTTCTGTGTATTATTTCACTGACTCTTCACGATAGTAGGTTTAGCATCTTAAGGAAAGCAGAGACCTTTTGGGAAGTGCTCACTCCTGAGGGCCACCTAGATCCCGGGGCAGTGAGGTGAAGTGGGGCAGTAGAGGCTGGGGCCAGGGGACCAGCCAGCAGGAAGAGCAGCTGGACCGGAAAAAGGCAGCACTGTGGGAAGGAAGAGGCCAATTCTCTGGTGACAAAAGAATTTCAGAAGGCAATTCATTCAAATTCTGTCAAGTCTCCCGCTGAACAGTGAGGACATTACTGAAGACATTACGACAGGAACCACAGGAGCCCTATTCTCAAGGAACCCATCCTCTGCTGAGGGGACAATGAGGAAGCTGATGGGGTAAACAGGCAGAAGGCAGCGCCCCTCATGGAGATGATAACCTGTGAGCGGAACAGTCCCAGACTCGGGCTTGTACTGTGGGCAACAAGATCTGTATTGTGTAGGCAGCACTGGGGAAATCAAGATCATTCGCTGGTAGAAAACAGAAGGGAGGGGCCGGTTGGGTCCCATGAGCAGAGGAAGGGGCTGCAAAGCAGATAGCCAGAGTTACATATGTGGGGTAAGAGACCCCTTTGAGACACCTAGGGTTGCAGAATTGCTCCACAGCCTGGGAGAGCTGGGGAGGACGCCACGGCAGGGGGTCAGGAGGGAACAGCCTGACCAGGGAGAAAACAGTGCACTCCAAATTAACCTGGCTTATTTGGCAAAGCCAAATGTCTGAAGTTTAAGTTTATTGGGGGGGGGGGTAGCTGTGGATATATTTCAGTTTGTTTTGCATTTTATATTTATATCATCCTCAGATACTAAAAAATACTTGCTTGTTAGAGATGATTCCATTCAAGCTTTCCAGATTTATTTCTGGATATCCCTCAATTTTATCCAGAACTCTTAGCGGCTAGATCTGAGTCTCTACTTGTAAAGGAAGCTACAAGGCTGAATTTAGGTGCAAGCAGGAAGAACATAAGATTATTCACACATTTTAAGTCTATATCCTAAAGCTCAGATACTATGTAAATTTCTATCATAACTATAAAATCTCTTGAGTAAATTTTCACCCTGACGACATTAACAGAATCTTAGAGCAATGACAGCAACATCACAGAACCTATATGAAGGGAAAAAAATATAAAAAAAAGAACCTATATGAAGTAATATACAGGGAATTAAAAAAAATGTTTCTCTAAATCAATCTTTAAAAATCTGACACTTAAATAATCACAAAAGCTTTAAATCTATTACTTTTTACCTTATCTGGCTCACAATTCTATTAATGATTTCACTTTTCCATGCATTAGATTTCACATATTACTAAAATTAAATACCATATACCACAGAAATGTGTCACAAAATACGTCTCAGAAACAGCAGACAGCCTCCTTCTGTATTCCCCTCAGAGGCCCTGGTCCTGCAGGAACCAGAAGATCCAGCTTCTTCTTTTGACCCCTCAGAGACTACACGGTGAACCATCTACTGTTCCAGCCCTGAATGAGCAGAAATGGGGGAAGAGAGAGAGGCCACACCGCACAGGGAATTCAAGCCACAGGGAGGGAAGAGCCTGACCACAGTGGACAGGGAGAACCAGCACAGAAGCCCTCTGGGGCTGGACCACTCAGTGCACCAGAGTCCAAGTCCACTCCTGACAGGCACTCTCCTGATGGGCCATGCTGGAAAGGGAACCAACTAATCAAGAGACTGGTGTTTCTAAATGCACCAAATTCTGAGGCAAGGATGAGCCATTTATCAAAAGCTCTCTCTCTTATTTTCAAAGTGATCCTCCTTTAGAAAGGACATTAACTCAAAGTTTTATAGCTCATGGATTCTCCAGCATCCACAAATTTAGAACCAAAGGATAAAAATTAGAAAACCCAAAATATGCTTACTACCACACTAAATCAAATGCATATGTAAACTAATAAAATAAAGAGCTGCATACCAAGTAGAGGGTATCTGAGTGGAAACATTCTTTTATTCCGTGAGGAAGTCTGCTTGTACATCTGCCCTGACGCAACTCTAGCTAAGGTCACCAATTTATTCATTCATTTAACAAAACTGTGCCTGAGCACTCTTCTAGAGATGGAAACAAAGACCCTGACCTTGGGGGCAAATCCAGCAGCCGCTAACCTTTCTTCAACATGCCCACCGGCCTGGAGCCATCCGAGTCCTCGGTTCTCTTGACCCCTCCGCTCTCTAGACTGCATACAGACCCATCTGGCTGCTCCTCCTTGGTCTGTTTCGCCTGAGCCACACCAGGATGTCAGGATGTGAGGGCCCTTTCCCGTCCTCCTGTCTCTAGGGAGAGCTTATCCACTCCCAGTCATGTGACTCCTAAATGCCAGGGACACACAGATATCTCCCAGATTGCACCTACAGCCCAGACTCTTCTTTTTTTTTTTTAAGATTTTATTTATTTATTTATTTGACAGAGAGAGACAGAGAGAGACACAGCGAGAGAGGGAACACAAGCAGGGGGAGTGGAAGAGGGAGAAGCAGGCTTCCCGCTGAGCAGGGAGCCCAAAGCGGGGCTCGATCCCAGGACCCTGGGACCATGACCTGAGCCGAAGGCAGATGCTAACGACTGAGCCACCCAGGCGCCCCTCAGCCCAGACTCTTCTGATCTCCAAACATGAATGTACAGATTCCATCCAACACAGCTCCTCACACCGTGAACCTGATCTCGGTGGAAGGATCAGACCTGGAGGTCATCCTTAGCACTCCCACCCTTTCTACTTTCACACATAAATCAACCAGATTCCACTTCTTTTTTTTTTTTTTAAGATTTTATTTATTTATTTATTTGACAGAGAGAGACACAGCGAGAGAGGGAACACAAGCAGGGGGAGTGGGAGAGGGAGAAGCAGGCTTCCTGCGCTCAGCAGGAAGCCCGATGCGGGGCTCGATCCCAGGTCCCCGGGATCACAACCCGAGCCGAAGGCAGCTGCTTAACCGACTGAGCCACCCAGGCGCCCCGACCAGATTCCACTTCTTAAAGATCTCACATAGTCATTCGGCTCCACGGCCTCCGGCGGACACGGACTTTCCGTCAGGCTTGCCCGCACAACATCAACAGCGTCTCCTGTGGCCTGCCCGCTCCCCTTCTCCACACTCTCGGCCACAGTCCTCCCACTGAAGCCCGAGACGCCCTTCAGAAATGTGCATCCACTTAGGTCATCCCTCTGCTGAAAATCTGACAGCGTCGACTTCAGCTAAGACGAATGCCCTTAGCAGGACCACAAGCCCCACCTCCCCCCTTCCTCTCATCCAGTGCCACTGTCCTTCGTCTCCGCTCCAGGAACACTGGCCTCTTCCATGTCCCTGGAAATTGCCAGGCTCCGACCCACTTTGGGGTCCTGTACTTACCAAACAGTCTGTACCTTTTCCTTCAAAGGGCTTACTGCAATTTGTAATTACGTTTATTTCTGCAATTCTTTATTTTATAACTATCTCTGCCAAGAGGGCAGAGGTCACATCTGTTTCTTAGCGACTGTATTGGTAGTGCCATACCCAGTGCTGGGTACACGGAAGTGAAAAAACGATGACATTTAAAAGTTAACTGATAGTGTTGCATACCTTAAACTTACACAGTGTTATAAGTAAATTATATCTCTCAACGAAAATAAATTAATTTTTCAAAAAGAGCATGAACTGGGGAGAAAAAGTTAACTAATGGGACATTTAATGTAATTTACTTCATTCTATGCACTAAAACCTACCCCCAAAGAATCAGAAGCATACTGAGGTAATTAATATGCAAGTAGACATGAAAATGTTTCTATAACCCTATGAATATATTCAACAGCATAAATAGTCCCAAAGTAAAGTTTATAATATCTTAATTACAATGCAAATGTCAAATAACAGAATCAACCTCCATACTAATCACTCAGTGCTATATGCAGAAAATACTATTAACACTATGGATCAAATATCAACTGGCTCAAAGAAGCATGGCCAATAATCAATAAAAAGATGCTCAACATCATTAGTCATGAGTGAAATGCAAATCACACTCACTAGGATGGCTATAATGAAAATAAGTGTTGGCAAGGATGTGGAGAACGTGAAACTCTCATATATTGCTGGTGGGAATGTAAAATATGCAGCTGCTTTGGAAAACAGTTTGCCAGTTCCTAAAAAAGTGAAGCCTAGAGTTACTGTCTGTAGCAGGCTGAATAATGGCCCTCCCAATGTATCAGGTCCTAAACCCTATAAATATGACCTTATTTTAAAAAAAGAGCCTTTGCAAATATGATTAACTCAAGGATCTTGAGATGGAAGACTGTCCTGGATTATCTGGGTGGGTCCTAAATACAAATATGTGAATCCTCACAAGTGTCTAGAAATAAACCCTTACCTTTATAGTCAGGTGTTTTTTTATAAAGGCACTAAGAGGACTCTGAGAAACAAACAGGGTTTTAGAGGTGAGGGGGGAACGGGGATTGGTTAGCCTGGTGACGGGTATTAAGGAGGGCACTTACTGCATGGAGCACTGGGTGTTATACAAAAACAATGGATCGTGGATCACCACATCAAAAACTAATGATGTGGGCGCCTGGGTGGCTCAGTTGGTTAAGCAACTGCCTTCGGCTCAGGTCATGATCCTGGAGTCCCGGGATCGAGTCCCACATCGGGCTCCCTGCTCAGCGGGGAGTCTGCTTCTCCCTCTGACCCTCCCCCCTCTCATGCTCTCTCTCTCTCTCTCATTCTCTCTCCCAAAATAAATAAATAAATAAAATCTTTAAAAAAAAAAACTAATGATGTACTGTATGGTGGCTAACATAACAATAAAATTTAAAAAAAATAAAAAATAAAGGCACTAAGACAATTCAATGGTGAAAAAATCGTCATTTCAATGAATGGTTCTGGAACAACAGGATATCCAATGCAAGAGAATGAAACTGAATCCCTACCTCATGCCATACACAAAAATTAATTCCAACTGGATCAAACACCTAAATGTGAGAGCTAAAACTATAAAACTCTTAGCAGAAAGTATAGGTGTAAATTTTTGTGACTTTGGATTAAGTAGTGGTTTCTTGGCTATGACACCAAAAGCACAGCAATAAAAGAAAAAAATAGATCAATTGGACTTCATCAAAATAAAAACTTGTGTTCCTCAAAGAACATCATCAAGAAAGTAAAGGAAAACAAAGAATGGGAGAATATATTTGAAAATCAAATATCTGATAAGAGTCTAGTAACTAGAAATATAAAGAACACTTACATTTCAACAATGAAAAGATAAACAATCCAATTAAAAAATGAGCAAAGGGGGTGCCTGGGTGTCTCAGTCAGTTAAGCAAGCATCCAACTCTTGATCTCAGGGTCGTGAGTTCAAGCCCCACATTGGGCTCCCCACGCTGGGCGCAGAGCCTACTTAAAAAAAAAAAAAAAATGGGCAAAGGATTTGAACAGATTATTTCTCCAAAGAAGGTATACAAATGGCCAATAAGTACATGAAAAGATATTCAACATCATTAGTCATTTTGGGGAAGCTCAGATCAAAACACAATGAGAAAGGGATGCCTGGCTGGCTCAGTCAGAGGATCATATGACTCTTGATCTCGGGGCTGTGAGTTCAAGCCCCATGCAGGGTGTAGAGATTACTTAAATAAAGAAAACTTAAAACACACACACACACACACACACACAGTGAAATACCACTTCACACCCACTCAGATTGCTATAATAAAAACAAAACAGAAAATAAAAAGTATCAGGGAGGACATGAAGAAACTGGAATCCTCATATATTGTTGGTGGGAACATAAAATGGTGTAGCCACATTGGAAAACAGTCTGGCAGTGCCTTACAAAGTTAAACATAGAATTATCATATTATCCAGCAATTCTAATTCTGGGTATATACACAAAAGAATTGAAAGCAGGGACTCAAAACATTTGTACACCAATGTTCCTAGCAGCATTATTCACATAGCCAAATGGTAGAAACAACCCATTCAACAGATGAATGGATACACAAAATGTAGTACATACATACAATAACCAAATCAATGCCACTGAACTTTATATTTACAAATTGTTAAAATATTTAAAAATGGTCAATCAGTTGATTAAGCATCTGACTCTTGGTTTCAGCTCAGGTCATGATTTCAGGGTCACGAGATCAAGCCCCACGTCAACTCCATGCTCTGCACGGAGTCTGCTTGTCTCCCTCTCCCTTTGCCCCTCCCTGCCACGTGTGCACGCTTGCTCTCTCAAATAAATAAAATCTTTTAAAAATGGTTAAAATGGTAATTTTTATGTTTACTCTACCGCAAAGAAAACACTTGTATATGAATGTTTCTAGCAGCATTATTCATTTGGGGCTTTTTAAAAAGATTTTATTATTTTTTATTTATTTCTTTGACAGAGAGAGAGAGAGAGAGAGTGAGAGCAGGAACACAAGCAGGGGGAGTGGGAGAGGGAGAAGCAGGCTTCCTGCTGAGCAGGGAGCCCGATGCGGGGCTCGATCCCAGGACTCTGGGATCATGACCTGAGCCGAAGGCAGACGCTTAAGGACTGAGCCACCCAGGCACCCCTAGCAGCATTATTCAAAAGAGACAAAAAAATTTAAACAACTCATCGATCTACTGATGAATGGATAAGAAGTGATATATCCGTACAATGAAATGTCATTTGCCAAGAAAAAGGAATTAAGTACTGATTCATGCTACAGCGTGGATAAACCTAGAAAACACTGTGTTCACTTCTAGAGATGATTAGTTGGGTCAAGGGGAGAGGAACTTTTACTATATTACTCTTCTGTTCTATATAGAACAATGAGCACATATTACTTCTTAAAAGAATAGCATCTAACAAATGGTACAATGCCAGACATGATCTCCAGGCTGGCACTGCTTACTCACCAATGGAATGTCTAAGCTCGCTGCACTGGCTGACAGGGGGTAGCTTCAGCATTTCCCTCCATTTTTTACTACGACCACTTTTTTTGCCATAGCTTCCTAAATTTGGGGAAAAAAAGTATTTTTTTTAATGATCAGAAATATCCAACTATAACAACTATTTCCACCAATATATTCTGTTTGAGTAGTTTGGTACCTACGGTGAGTGAAAATACAAGTTTATAATAATTTGTCTTATCTAGAAGGCAGCTTGACAAGTATAAAAAATCCCAAGTGATGCAATCAGTCACTGGCTTTATCATTTAGAAACCATGTGACCCTGACTTTCTATAACTAACTCTGCTGAGCCTAAGCTTCCAAATTTGTGAATTGGACCTACCATGACATATCATACATGGTTGCATCCCTACCATGGAGCAAATGCCTGAAAAGGACAGGAAAAATACAATGGTAAAAAGGACAACATCCCTCCCCTCCATTCTAGTGAGGGAGAGAGATTTTTTTTAACAAGCAGGTAATGATAAGTGATTAAAAAAAATAGCCAATCATACAGTACTAAATGGTATACAAGAAAATCAAGCAAGGCGAAGATGAAGGGTGCTACTAGGGCTAAGGTGAGATTAGAGAAGGCCTCTGAAAAGGGTCACACTTAGGCAGAGACCTGATGGGGGTGAGGGGCTAAGCCTTGGAAAGATGTGGAAGCAAGACAAGAACCGTGGAAAAAGCTATTAGATGATATTTTAGCAGATGGCGGCTACGCTGCAGTAAGCATGGCATAAAGTATAGAGATAAGTGAATCACTATATTGTACACCTGAAACTAATGCAACATTGTGTGTCAACTATATTCAAATAAAAGAAAATTTTTAATAAAGTAAAATAAAAATTTTAAAAGATAATATTTTAGAAAGATCTTTTTAAATAAGCCCCTTCAAACAAAACTCAAGAGAAATTAGAACCTTCAATTTTAAGCATTCTGAGGAGCTGAAATTTTATTAAATTTTGTCCAAGAGAAAACATCACAGTTTTGGCCAGTGACTAAAAGACTTCAGGGCTATTGGGAAGAATAGAGAAATCGGTAGGAAAGCCATGTTCTAGGAAGTGATGAGCCCTGCCTTAAGCATGGTGAGTGAAGCACTATGAGGGAAAGCCATCTGGAGGAGCTCAGGAGAGAAGTCCTGGCTAGAGGTACGGATTTGATAGTAGTCTGCCAAATAGATAATGCTCCTCTACCCACCCCCTCCATTTCAGCTGGGTTCATGGTTCTAGACTTATATCCACTATGCAGAGGTCCCAGAGCACCTCAAGGTCAACGGGTTCAAATCTGACTCAGTTGTCTTCCCCTCCAATTCAACCCTCTTTCCACACTATGCCTCCAGTTAATTACCCACCATCGACTAGGCAAATGGAGCTGGAAACTGGGGCACTATCTAGTTCTGTCTCTGAAGTGCCTCACCCATTTATTCAGAAAGCACTTGCAGCCCAAGTCCCGTGTGCTGGGCACTGTCCAGGCACCAGGCATACAGCAGGTGGCCACCCTGCCTGCAAAGGTGCTCCTGCCCCCTGCTCTCCTTGCCCACACTATTGCCAAGGTCATCGGCCTCTTCTGACAGGCCTTCCTACACCTCCAGTCTTCCCTTCCAGACCCTCCTCCACACTGCCTTCCACTGTTACCTTCCTAAAATGCAAGTATCAGCTCACTTCTGAGTCTAGGGCTGAAGGGAAAATAAAGCACAGCCCTAACATCACTCCACAGGCACACCATGCCGAAGGCACACTGTCTACGAAAGCCCCTAAGAACCAAGAGCAGGTTCCCTCCAGGAAAAACAAGTGTCTGGACTTTCACTCTGGCCTTATTAGTGTAGACAAATCTCTACTCAGCTCAAGCAGAACCCCCTCCCCAACAAAGCCTACCCTGCCTTTCCCAGGGAGATGCAGGCACTCCTTCCTCTTCATGCCCTTTGCATCTTGAAAACATCTTCATTAAATCTCAGCAAGGGCAGGTTCTAGGTTCATGGTCTTATTCCCAATGTATCTCCAGCATTTGAAACATGATTGAAGGGATGTAAGGGGGCTCTAGGCACACTGCACACAGCAGACACCAAAGGCATGTTTGCTAACTTTGAGGAGACCTGAAAAATTGCAGATGCTGACTATAGCAATGAGTCAGGTGGGATGAAATTGGAGGAGGTCTAGAAGGAGGAGGAGGAGTAAGAGTTAGATTTACTGAGTCTTTATTATGTACCAGACACCTTTCTAGGAGCTCCATATATATTGACTCATTGAATCATCCCTCACCCTATGATGAAAATACTACCACTATTCCCTTTTCTCAGATAAGGGACCAAAGCAAAGAGGCCAAATCACCTGTCCCAACATCACACAACTAGTGAGATGTGTGGCTCTGCTCCAGGAATCCTGCTTAACCATTACTGCTATTAAGAAGCAAAATGGTGTAACCAAAGCCTTTTTAAAAAGTACACAAACATTTAAAATAAATTATTTGCCATAAACACATTTAGAAATTAAGCTGGGATTTGAGCCCACATAATCACACTGGCCAAACTGGGACACTCCTTTGTCATAATAGCTGTTTTACTATCAATAAACAGAACCACCAAGGTAAATGCATAATGTGAGAAAGAACTGAACCCTTGTCTACAAATTCTGCTGGGTATTAAGGGGTTTGGGGGTCGGTTTTCTACTATGAATACCATAATTATTTTTGTAACACATTCTTTATAACATATTCTATATTTCTGTAACATATTAAATACCATCCCTAGTCCTAGACCCACCAGAACCAATCACAATCATAAATTTAGTGTGTTTGTAAATGTGTGTGTGTGAGTGTATAGCCTTTGACAATATATTGTTTCAGAGCAAGATTCTTAACCCGGCATTCATAGGCAGATATCAGGGTGTCCCAGAATTTGGACAGAAAAAAATCACCTCTAGCTTCACTAACTTCTAAGCAAACTTCATCATTTCTTTCAGTAATAAATGTAGGCAAGAGTATTATAATATTAGTAGTATCTGTGACTTCATCACCAAGAGCATTCAGATTTTCCTATCACATTACAGTTGGTAGAGAGAACTCAAAATATTTATGCTCACACTACTCTGAAACTATCATAGAGGCACCAGACTAGCTGCCAGACTGTCTACAAGTACTCAGGTGATGGAGCCAAGCAACCCCTAGGCAGCTCTGTGTCTGGTAGTTAATTCTTCAGACTCTAAATGGCTAGGTCCTGTGTTCTCACATGGATGGTCCAGCTACGTATTTTACTCTGTGACTCCCCACAACTGTGTTGATGGACACATAGAAGCAGGTGAGTCAAAGGCCATCCCACAGTTTAAAAGCCCCATTCAAACTAGCCATGATGGCCTTCACACTGATGGATCTTTAAAAGATGAAAACTTTAACTTGCTTATATATTTATTGCCCTGTACTTAACTCTGATAACAGAGCACTTTTGTAACACAAATCTGTTTTAAAAAATTTTACAATTATTTCAATATAGCTGACTTCTTTTACAATCATATGTATTTTATTTTATTTAGATTAAGAACCCCTACTCTAGAGGTTGTTAACAAGAATGGTGTGCCACTGGGGTGCCTGGGTGGCTCAGCTGGTTAAGCATCTGCCTTTGGCTCAGGTCACGATCTGGAATCCTGGCATCATGAGCCCCACGTCAGGCTCCCTGCTCAGAGGGGAGTCTGCTTCTCCCTCTGCCCTTCACCCAGCCCATGCTCTCTCTCGCTCAAATAAATAAAATCTTAAAAAAAATGGTGTACTACTGCATACATCACTCTACAATTTGATTTTTTCCACACAGCTTTGTCCATTTTGACACAGGTTGTTCCCTGTCCCAGCCAGGCTCTCTTCTGCTTCTCTCTCCCTGCCCCCACCCCCAGTTTCATGTTTCATGGCCCAAAACACTCTTCCTCAGCAAAGCTAGATCCCTTATTTCCTCAGGTCTTTGCTCCTGGCCACCCAACATGAGCTTTCATGTCCTACCTCCATGCCTAACCCTTAGCAGCCCCCTTCTCTGCTTTATTATCTTTTCTTGACCCTTATCACTGTCCACTATATAATCTATTTCATGTATCTTGTTGAGGACCTGTCTCCCCATGAGAATAGAAACTCCTTGAAGAGAGAGGTTTATCTGTATTAATCACAGCTGTAACCTCGATAGCTAGATGAGTGGCTGGCATAAAATAGACATTCAATAACTATTTGGTGAATGAGTGAATGAATGAATTTGTTTTAATTACTATATAGTAATCTACTATATAAATATTCTATTTATCTACTTCTTATTGATGGTCATTTAATGTTTTTGGTTTCCAGTACTACAAATAATGTTATGGCAAACATTCTTACAAATGTCTCTTTTACCACCATTTCTGCAGAGTATATGCCTAGAAGAGTTCTTGACCTGGGTGTGTGATTTTTTTCAACATTAATGGATACTGTTCAATTGTTCCCCAAAATGGTTGTATATTACGATTACTTAAAATACAGCATACATACTGGGTGTAATACCCTTGATAACCACTCAGGAGTTACTTTTCATATGTAACATAAATTTGTTGAAATCAAAACAGAGACACCTTCTCTTCCTTCACTTTATTTATTTATTTATTTATTTATTTAAAGATTTTATTTGTTTGACAGAGAGAGACACAGCAAGAAAGGGAACACAAGCCGGGGGAGTGAGAGAGGGAGAAGCAGGCTTCCTGCTGAGCAGGGAGCCCGATGCGGGGCTCAATCCCAGGACCCTGGGATCATGACCTGAGCCGAAGGCAGACACTTAACCAACTGAGCCACCCAGGCGCCCCTCTTTCTTCAATTTAGAATAACTTTAGTTAGTCAGAAGAGCTCCACAAAGAGCAGAGGCTGAGACTAAGCCAAATAAACTTAGTTCACTTGCCTCTTAAAGTCAGGGCATTATGCTAAGTGAAGTAAGCCAGTCATCGAAAAGGCATATACTGTAAGATTCCACTTATATGAGGTATTAGGAGTCAAATCATAAGAGACAGAAGCAGAATGGTGGTTGCCAGGGACTAGACAGAGGGGAGACTTGGGAGTTATTACTAATTGGGACAGAGTTTCAGTTGGGGAAGATGAAAAAAGTTTTGGAGGTGAATGGCGATGTTTGCACAACAGTAAAAATTTACTTAATACTACTGTGCACCTAAAAATGGTTAAATATATTTTACAACAACAAAAACATATTTGAAAAAAAAGAGATTTACTCAAACAACATAAAGTCATTTGTTGTTTAAGTGCTAAAAAGATAGCATCCAAATTGTCCACTTTATATTCATCAAGAAGTGAAAACAGATATGCAAACACAAGTCTTTTTTTTTAAGATATTTACTTCTTTAGAGAGCATGAT